TTCATAAAAGTTGCTCCATCAATCATCATGGATACAATAATTTCTTTTAGGGATAATCCATATTTCCCTAACTTAGATTTAAGCATTTCCACACATTTTTCGGATGGCATACTTCCTGAGACATGAGCAAGTCCTTCTCAATGAATATTTATATTTAAATAGTGTCTATTTCTTACACATGTCTATTCATCAAATGTAAGACTAAATTTTTCACCATTTATGTTTAATTGCATTAACTTGTGTTTCAAAGAATTGTACTGTTACTATAGTTTATAACAGTTCTTATAGTGATTCAGAAGTCAAACAACAAAAATCAGCGTTAATTCACAAAATTTTCACAGGACTAGTTTCGATGGTTTTACCGAACCATCATCTTCAGCTGCAAAACCGCAAATGAACAAGATAGGAAATAATGTTTAGATAAGATAAGAAAGCCTGGACAAGAATAAGCAAGTGGCGCCATCTGTTGGCGAAACCAGAACTAAAACATAATTTCTCTAAAAGCCGAAGGCAAATTTGGATTGGAATTAGGATCGTTAACTAGAACAGAAAGATTTTTATGAATGTGAAATGCCTCTAGAAAATCCAGTTCTCCAATGGATTTTATTTTAGGTATTTATATATATCTTAGAGGTATTTATATTATCTCCTAAAATAAGATATTTATATATATCTTAATTTAGGAGATTATAAAAATTCTGTTGTCATTCCCTTCTTTCCATCAATTAGCTATAAAGTTGCACCATATTTTGCAGAAATTAACTTTCGGGTTGTTTACTCTCCCATCAATAAAATTCCAACTTCTATACTCAAGGACCCCATTCCGGATATGAATTCCTGGGGTATTTATAGGATTCCTTGCCAGTGCGGTTTAATTTACATTGGCCAAACTAAGAGAGCCTTAAAATTTCGCGTCAAAGAACATGAGGCATATGTTAGAAAAAAGGAAACACAGAAGTCTTCTGTTGCTCAACATTGTTGGTCCGAAAATCACACTTTCAATTTTTCTGCTGCCAAAATTATTCAAAAACATCTTCCATTGGAGAACTGGATTTTCTAGAGGCATTTCACATTCATAAAAATCTTTCTGTTCTAGTTTAACGATCCTAATTCCAATCCAAATTTGCCTTCGGCTTTTAGAGAAATTATGTTTTAGTTCTGGTTTCGCCAACAGATGGCGCCACTTGCTTATTCTTGTCCAGGCTTTCTTATCTTATCTAAACATTATTTCCTATCTTGTTCATTTGCGGTTTTGCAGCTGAAGATGATGGTTCGGTAAAACCATCGAAACTAGTCCTGTGAAAATTTTGTGAATTAACGCTGATTTTTGTTGTTTGACTTCTGAATCAGTATTTATTCGGCGTGTTATTGTGTCTTAATTAGTTCTTATAGTGTTAATCAATGTTGGTAGATTTTTAAAACCTCTGGTGGATAGTGATTTTATTTACTCAGTAAAGTGCAAAACACTCAAAATGGCAAACCATCCAATGCTGTCATTTTACTTATAATTTAATTTCATCCAAATTATCTCTCTCTCTCTCTTTTTTTTTCCAAAATAGTCTAAAATCCCAAATGGTTTAGGCTTAGAAACCATGCTCAAATTTATGAAACCAAACTGACGTATTATCAAAAGATTTTTTATGTTCTTTAAAGTTATTCTTATTCATTATTATTATGAGTCTATTAATTATGAGTATATAATAAGTCTGAAAAGTATTTTGAATCCTAAAGTATGATACGCAAATATAATGTGAATAACAAACTCACCACTTTAAAAAATATCAAAATTTTTCTAAATATTACGCACTTTCTTCACAATTACAACATTGTTCTCACAGAGATGAATATTAGACTACGCATCCTGCACGTGTGCAGTACTGCTCTGAGCTGTAATAGGGCATTACAGTTTTGGCCCGCTTCCATGGATGATTCACATATTTATCACTTCTCTAGACTGTACGCTGCAACCTTGTTTTCACAGTCTAATTAATTTCGCCCATTAGGGAGACATAAAAACGTATATTATTTTGCTATGTTGGCGACTCCTGAACATATAGTGGAGACAATTTTAAAAATGTCTAGTAAATTCTGAAAAAACAGTACTTAAACATGCGAATACTGGTATTACGAAATTGTACAAATTTTGTAATCCCTATTAGCAATGGGCAATACTTTGAATATAACATACTGTTCTTTCACAATAAATACACAATTTGGGATTAAAAAAAGGGGCAGAGACCTCTTAGATAAAAATACTCGTAATACTATTAGATTAAAAATTAAAACAAACAAAGAAGAAAAAGCAAGAAAAAAAGAAAAGGAAAGGAAAAGAAGAAAAAATTTTAAAAATCTTTGACTTTTGTGCAAAGCATTTCTTACAAATCCATACATGGAAGGATATTAAAATACTAAATACTTAGCTTACTTGCATCTGAATAAAATAAAATAAAATAAAATACAGAAGCTTGAAATATATATTAACATAAAAATTTCTACTAAACATTAGATTTTACGCTATGCAGACAACAATAGACAAACATAAATTCTGTAATCATCTTTTATAGATAATCAGATATTTACTTTACTTACCATACTCATAGTAAAATAATGTTAAAGGGGCCGAAATACAATGACTTTTTAAACAATTTATTTATATTACAACAGGCAACGAATACCAAAATTGTAAAGATAAAATAAAAAAATTTTGTCTACTATTAAGCAGCAATAAAATACACATACATCAAAATTGAAAACAATAACACCTCAAAAAGACTTTTCTGGAAGCGGTAATAAAAAAATACATAAATAAATTATAAGATGCTTTAAAATTATTCAGATAGAAGGGAAGGGGGAGCAATCTCCTTCCAACATGCATATAGACATACATATGTATCCATAAATATACTTATGATATCACTGAGAAATCATAACAAATGTAATGTAGATTAATATTAAAGCATAAATTTATTATTGTTCAATTATACTAATTTCTAAACACAGGCACAGTCACCAAACACAACTTGATTTATTTACTCCCCAAATATGATTCAAACTGTTGAGAAATTCCATCACTTCTTAACAGAAAAATGAATTAGAATTGCATCAGATTTTCTTACATAAGCAAAAGAAACACATACATTATTTTTATGTTTAATATTTAACTATTCAATCCAACTAGCAATTTCAAATTTACACTAATCCTAGTTCAATATTTTGTAAATAATGGTCTAATTACAAAAGAATTAGTTTCTAAAACAAGAGTGTTAGAGAAAGTTCACTTATATATATACCGTAATTTCGCACGTATAGTCCGCAGACACGATTTTATATAAAAAAAATTTTAAAAATTGTCAGATAGTCCGCACCACCGGATAGTCCGCGGACTATACGTCCGAAATTACGTTTTTTTAATACAGCAATATTCCCATGCTTTTTAAACACATCCTTTTGTTTGCGCAAATTTCTCACCGCTTTCTTGTCCACTTCAAAATAATAGAGTAAAATCCTAGTATACGGTGCAGCCTTGGCATGACTTTGCCAACACCAAAAATGATCCAAAGAACGTCTATATATATATACTATACACGCATAGTATATATACTATATACATAGTATATACTATGTTTAACTATATATTTTCTTTGAATGACCCGTTAACTACTCATCGTATATGTCCCGTTTTTACTGCTCATCATAAAGTCGCCAAAAGTAGTCAAATCTCGTGTGCACCGGATACCAGGATTAAACCAATAACGGCCCATGCTTCTCTATTTCCATCTTTCTTCAGCTTTTCTCAACTACCTTGAGTTTAAACTCAGCAGTAAAATTTCTCCGGCGAATGTTTCATCAACGTTATCGAAGATGAAAGACAAAATATGAAAACAAAATACTGTGCAACGTGCTTTATCTCATGATAAGTGGTAATGAAATGTGACCTTCGACCCCACTCACTCGGTGTTTGCCAAACCACGCCTATAAGTAAACGAATCATGCTTTTTTTTTTTTGTACTCCAGGTACTTGCTACTAAGGCTCCTAAAAACCGAGCTGAACGCATCGAACTACTTTCCCCCTCCTCACGGCAGTTGTGCTAAAGCAGTGCGAAGGATACTTGGAATCTCAAGACTTATTAGGAGCTCTATTTGATCATCGGCAGTTCATGACAGCGTGTTTTTTTAAATTTCAACAATTTTAACCGTGAACAACCAGCGTATTATCCGCACTGGTGGATAGTCCGCAGCTTCAAAAATTCACATTTTAAACACAGATAGTCCGCGGACTATACGCACGAAATTACGGTATATTTATTTTAAACAAATACTTTTAAGCACCGCTAGCGGCACCTTTATACAGAGTAGCACCGATACTGACACATGTGTTGGCTGAGTCAAAGAAAGTCTATGTAAAGAAAGAAAGGCTCCATAGAAATAATGTGACCATCGAACTTGTTTGAACTTTGATATCAGCTTCGAGCTTTGGCGCTTTTTGGCGACAGATATTTCACTCATGCGCAAAATAATTATGGCAGATGTTGAAAACGTTATATGTGTCTAGACCTTTATCCGGGCTAAAACCAGCATTCAGTATTGAAAGTTAACCTGTATCCTTCATGTATAAGACGCAGGTAACTTTTTTGAGACCAAATTTAGGAAAAAAAGTGCGTCTTATATGCCGTCAAATATGGTATATATATCCAAGTTTTTTTTTTTTTTAAATAGACTGCCTTAAAAACAGGAATTTAAAAATTAATAAAATGTTGATGCAAGTGATACATGAATGAAATATAATGATTTATAGGATTTTGAAACTCAAAACTTTGAATGAACTTGGCGTGAACATTTAAAACAAGTAAAAACAATATGTATATGAAATAAAAACTAATAGCTCAGTTGGCACATTTTAAACACTTTAGCTCAAGAATTTTAAATTAATTCAGTCTTAGAAATTAATACCGTTCAATTCAAAACAAAAAGTCTCTTGCATGATGCAAGAATCAACTTACCAATTTTGTAATCAACTGTTTAGCAACTTTAATATCAAATTTTATAGAACATGCATTTTTTGTCACAGATCTTATCAGAAGCTCTGCCTTTTGTGTAGTCAAGCCTTGTTTGACCAATGTATCCTATGGAGAAGAAATTCTAAAATTATAATACAGACTAAAAACCATATAAAATGAACAGAAATAAATTTAAAAAAAAAAAAAAATTCAACCCCCTAAGTATGTAATGTATGCCCCTTGAAACAACTTTCATTATTTACGATATTGCTTCAAATGCTCATAATTATCAAGGGGCAAGTTGTAAATCATATTTGAAATCATCAGATTATTAAAACTCTGAAGATTTAAATACCAAGAAGTATATTTTTTTGCTTTCAAATCATTCAGTTGATTAAGCAAGTATATGTCACCATAATAATAAATACAGTGACATTATTATTATTATGTCACTGTATTTATTATTATTAGATGACATTATTATTATGGTGACATTATGGTGTATGTCACCATAATAATAAATACAGCATTTTGCAAACTGTTTCACAGAATGCAGGGATAAACTAAACATATCATATTTAATGCAATAGTAACACTTGCCAACTTTAACAGATTACGAATGCATGGAAACATAACATCTTCTAACATTCTAAACATTTGGAAAGATTCTGTTAAAGACATTACTAACATCAAAGAAATTTCTTTTCTCATAACTAATTTTTATACGCATTTTAAAAAATCTACCATTGTATTAATGGCTGCATCAAATCACCTCAGAAAATTTCCATCATTGCATTATTATTATTATTATTATTTACTCTGAAGAGAAAAACAATTTTATGCTATAAAACAGCGATTCCTAAAACATGAGTTGCAAATAGTATTAAAGCATTCTTTTTTATAATGTACAACCTTACACAGTTACCCAAAATTACAAATAAATTTTTTATCAATTTATTTTTAATAGTTGTTTACTCATTATTACTTCACTATTACACTGTTCACCCCCAAAAATCTCCTTTTTCTCAGAATAATTATATACATGGGATCTCGATAATTCATAACTAGATGCATGAATCAATTTATAATTATCAATAAACTGTTAATAGTAACTTATTTATTGGTCGCGGAAACTTAGCTGACAAGACATTTAGCTGACAGGGACACTTAGCCGACAAGACATTTAGCTGACAGGGACACTTAGCCGACAAGACATTTAACCGTCACAGACATTTAGCCAACACGGACAGTTAGCCGACAAGACACTTAGCCAACAGGACATTTGGCCGACACAGAGAGTTAGCCATCAGGACATTTAGCTACGGGACACTTAACTGTCAAGATATTTAGTCAACGGGACACTAAGCCAACAGTGACGTTTAACTGACACGTACCCAATAATTATTCAAATTTACTATCAAATAGAAAATTTGACTTCTCCATAAGTTCAATATTTAAGTTATTTTTTTCACTATCAACAAAATTCATTTTTTGATTCTTGAAGAGCTCATATGTGCTTTTAATTGTTGTGTTAATTTTGCATTGTTTGATATGTATCGTGCTGGTTGATGTATACTGGCCGAATTGAAAAAGCGCTGAAATTTGTCATCAGGAAATATGAATTAAATTTCGAAAGGAAAAAAGAATTTTTTTAGCTAAGTATGGCGGTCACTTAATTACATTTGAATATGGGATCTTAAAAAATTATCCGTAAAGCTTCTTCATTTAATCAACTGGGTTCTTTTGAACACATTCACATCATTAATAATTTTTCTTGTTTACTTAATGATATTAATTTTTCAATCTCGCTCTTCCAAATGCTTTAATTTCTAATATCTATACGTTTCATTACTATTTTATTCGTCACATCACGTTACATTCTTTTCCTTACAAAACCGCTTGGCTCCTCCCAATAATGGAATTTCATTTCCTCGTCCTATGAAGTGACGCAGTCACAGATGCAGGTACCCAGGCATTGCCTTACCCTGTGTATAGCAAGTGAAATTACTCAGCATAACTTTTTTTGTGCTAACATTAAATTCAGGAGATTTGAATGCGAAGCAATTTAGCAAAGTAGGAAGTGATGAGCAATTATATTCGCAGGGAGCAATTATAGTGATTTGCCAGATACTGTTTAGACATAACTTGGTAGTAGGAACAACTTGAACTTGTTGTTTGGCGAAACATGGATGAATGTAACTTGTTGTTTAGGCATAACTTGGTTGTATCGTGCAAGAATTCGCAATGAAGTGGCTACTGTCCTCAGCGTAGCAGGAGTAGACCGTCTGAAAAATCTGAATAATGCAATAAAAATTATTGTTATTCTTAAATTATACTTTTTTATAGAAACATATGGTGGTGAGGGGTAGTTTAGCAAATTTATTTTATTTTGTTATTAAAAACGATTAAAAAAAGCAAATTTTTAAAACAAGCAAAGGTATAAATTATTTGTGACCTCTATAATTTGCTGTTCATGCCACCATTCTTGTGATAAAAATTCTATAACATTTTATTGACCATGCCTCTTGCTTAAAATACTTAGGTTTATGTTTATAGCCCTAAACTGGTGCATAATGTTTAATTTAAAAGTAAAATATTAAGGTTTTGTTTTATTAGTAAATGAAGCAACAGAAGGAGGGGGCCACTAACCAAGCAGGGCGGAGCAAAGCAAGACATCGTGAAAAGTCACCGTAATGTGGTGCCAATTTCAATGCTAGATTTAACTAGATCAGTCATGTAAATAGATAATATTATGTAATCTGTTTTGAAAGTCGCAATGTGTAATTTTTAATATATGTTATATTAATGTTTTTCTTGTAAAATATAACTTTTCTCAATATCTCTTAAAAATGTATAAATTTTCATTTCATTTTTCATTAATTTTATTCTTTTTCCCTCTTTCATTCCTTCTCTTCGTTGTTTTTGGTTTAGCTACATGGTACTATGGCCACCTAATACAAGTAGGTTTGGTTTATGTAATTACGGCAAAGCCAGAGGGGAGGCCTAAGGGGAGGGATGCCTTCATGGAAGACTTTCTAAGGAAACTGACTCGTATGCATGTTACACAAAACCATGAAAACACCTATGCAGCCTGTCTGTTTGCAGGATTCGAAATTCGGACTGAACTACAGTGTTTGGCGACTTTGTTGCTCGGTTGCTGCTGAGCCTAACAGAAATCGAGTGACCGTTTTACTTAATATATAACTAGTCTCTTCCAATGAAAATTGCCTTTTTAGGCTAGAACTTTATAAATGCAGTCAGGAAAATGGGCACCAAAAATTGTCCTATTACCATGTAGCTAAACCCAAAACGAGAAAGAGCAAGAATCAAAATTAAAAAATAAATAAATAAATAAATAACAATAATAATTAAAAGTGAAATGAAAATTTATACATTTTTAACAAATATTGAGAAAAAATATTTTATAAGAACATTAATATAACATATTATATTGAAAATTACACATCGCGATTTTTAAAACATAGTACATAATCACTACATAGTATAAAACAAAGTCGCGTTCTCTGTCCCAATATCCCTATGTATGCTTAAATCTTTAAAACTACACAACGGATTTTGATGCGGTTTTTTTTAATAGATAGAGTGATTGAAGAGGAACGTTTATATGTATAACATCCATTAAATAGTGGAGAAATACTGTTATTTTTTAGGTTTCTAATGTGATGTCGTAAATAATTACATTTTCCCCACTTACATTGCAAACGCAGGCTGAACCCTACGAGATTTATCAAAATAATGTACTAAGTATTGTACACATTGAAAAGCTCTACAGATTTAGAAATAGCGGGACGTAGCGTTTGCAGTGGTACCGGCCGGCCGGGGCGGCGGGAGCATGCCTATAAATAGTGCGTCGGAGGCCGCGGTTCTCCCTATAGCACTTTGAATTTAGCAGCGATCGGACACATTTATTATCGGAGCTCTCTAGCTTTCAGCGCGACAACGTATCAGTAATTATAAGTAAGTTACAATAAATAATTGTATGATAGTAGTTTTAAAATATAAATGATATTCTATTCTAAGGTTAATTTTAAATCGCACTTATAGTAATTATAAGTACGTAAGGTTAGATAAGATTAGATTAAATAAAACCATAATTTATGGATTGGAATTTTCTACTAAGATCTTGGTTAAAATTTAGAGTTAAATCAATTTAATATTAGGGAAATTATTTTCAAAAATCGTAATTTAAGGTGAGGTACGTAAGTTCAGAAAAAGATTATGAACTGCGATTCATTTTTAAAATATCCATTAATATTTTATACCCGTGTGAAGGCGGAGCGGGTCGCTAGTATTATCTATTTACATGACTGATCTAGTTAAATCTAGCATTGATAGACGGCACCACATTATGGCGATTTTTCACGATGTGTTGCTTTGCTCCGCCCTACTTGGATTGTGGTCCTTTCTTCTGCAGCTTCAGTTATGAATAAAACAAAACATTAAAGAATATTTTACTTCTAAATTAAACATCAAGCACCAGTTTAGGGCTACAAACATTAACCTAAGTATTTTAAGCAAGAGGTGTCATCAATAAAATGCTACAGAATTTTTATCTCAAGAATGGTGGCATGAACTGCAAACTACAGAGGTCACAAATAATTTATATCTTTGCTCGTCTTAAAAATTCACTTTTTTTAATAGTTTTTAATAATATATATATATATATTTGCTAAACTAACCCTCACCACCATATGTTTCTATAAAGAAGTATGATTCAAGAATAACAATATTTTTTATTGCATTATTTGGATTTCTCATGACAGGGTAAGAAAATTTCATTAGTGGGAGGAACCAAACAATTTTGTAAGTGAAAGAATGTAACATGATGTGAGGAATAAAGAGTAATGAAACATAAAGATATTAAAAATTTGAAAGCATTTGGAAGAGCGAGATTGAAAAATTAATATTATTCAGTAAACAAGAAAAATTATTAATGATGTGAAAGTGTTCAAAAGAACTCAGTTGATTAAATGAAGTAGCTTTATGGATAATTTTTGAAAATCCCATATTAAAATGTAATTAAGTGACCGCCGTACTTAGCTAAAAAAAATTCTTTTTTTTTTTTCTTTTTACGGAATTTAATTCATATTCCCTGAAGAGAAATTTCAGCGCTTTTTCAATTCGGCCAATATACACCAAACAGCATGATACATATCAAACAATGCTAAATTAACACAACAATTAAAAGCACATGTGAGAAATGGAAAAATGAATTTTACTGATAGGAGGAAAAATAACTTAAAATAACTTCTTGGAGAAATCGAGTAACTTTGTAATTGATAGTAAGTTTGAATAATTATTGGGTAGATGTCAGCTAAACGTCACTGTCGGCTTAGTGTCCTCTTGACTAAATATCTTGACAGTTAAGTGTCCCGTAGCTAAATATCCTGACGGCTAAATGTCCTGTTGGCTAAGTGTTCTTGTCGGTTAAATGTCCTGTCGGCTAACTGGTGTCGGTTAAGTGTCCTGTTGGCTAAGTGTCACGGACCCCTTATTTATTATAACTCTATTATTACATTGTTTTTTACAACAAAACTCCCTTTTCTTTTTCAAAATAACTATGCATACGTAGATCATGATAAGTGTACACGTGGATCGAAATACAGTCAAAAGTCGTTAATTCGGACACCCATAATCCGAAATGATCTATAATCCGGACCTCAAAGCTACAAACTTTCTGCGCATGCGTTGCGTTGATGCGTGCAATGATTTGGAAGTTAATCTGTCAGCACTATCCTTATCTTCAGGGCAGATGTTTTTATTTCATTTGGCTTATAATTCCTTACTAAATGTAGTATTTCAGCTTGATGTACTCCGTCTTTGATATGATTTAAATCAAATTCCTCGTCATTATAATTCGCTTCCGATAGTGAAGAAAGTGACACAGAGGTTATTGAAAACGAAAAAATTTCGATTGACTAATTAGTCGGTATTCTTGACACAGCAATTATAGGACTTGAACAGAGGAACTTTGTAACTGAACAAGAAATTATGTCTTTTTATAGAATTAAAGAGAAAGTATTATCACATAAAACGAAGCAACTTAAACAACTTACATTGAAAGAAGCGTTTAATAAAGTAAGTAAACAAATAAATATTAAGTTTTTTTTTTTTTTTTTTTGTAAATTTTGATACCCTTTAGATCATAATTGTTCTTTATTTCATAAATTATGGTTTCATATTTTTAATTTTACAATTTCTGCATGCCATCTTACCAGATTAAAACTGATGATCTATAATCTGGAATCAGATTAACGACTTTTGACTGTATATCCCAATTTCACATACATAGGTTTTAATTAGACACAACTGGATATATGCGAGTCATGACATGAAAAGTTAGGTGAACACTACAATAAACAATAGGAATTTTTAGAATAGTTAGGGCTTTTCTATAGGCAGGCCTGTATGTGCAGTCTCTAGGAACATGGACCCTCTACAGGTGACTGAAGATGAAGTTCTGCAGCATACTGCCATTAATATTACAGCCATGGTACCTAACATGATATTCTTGGCAATGAGATTCCTCCAAATAAAGTTGGGAAAGGGCTGTGAAGTTCCATGAAGTTGACTTGAATCCAGCCATATTCATTTACAACTGTTAACTTTACTTATTGTTAGGGGGAGCGGAAAAAAGGGTTATATATCAGTGGAATTTGGAAGATGAAATGGGATTACCCTCAAACACAACTACTGACTGGTGTAATTACCTCCATGAAGAGTGTGTGTGTTCTGTAGAAAAAAAAAAAAAAAAAAAAGCAAGTAAAAAGTTAGGCAGCACTGAAACAGATATAAGGATCCAAACAAATATCTCCCTCTAAAGTTGCCTATGAATTTGCAAATTCTCTAAATATGAAATGTAGTACAAAGTATTACATATTAACAAAGCTTTTATTAAATTATTCTATCTCCATTGTTTCAGAGAGAAACCACTAGGATATAAATTATTTCAACTGAATTCTCAGCTTCCAAATATTTCCAAATAAAATATGTCAACTTTTTATACATTTTCCTAAACTGAACAGAATCTAGGAATTTGAAAAAAAATTTCTTTTGCAATACATATTTTAGAATTTTTCCATTTTTCCTAAAAATACAAAACATAAGAGCTTTATGATTTTAATTTTCAATAATAAATTAGTTTTATCACAAGTATGGTAAATTTATAGTTCATTTTATTTCCCACTTTGTAAGATTCACTAAACCATTTACACTATATCTTAAAACTGTGCTTTAATAAAATGGTAAAGAATTGTATGCCAGATAAAATCTACAGATACAACGATACTCGAATTCAGTACTTAACCCCTTAAGGACCAGCAGAGGGAGAATGAAACACAGTCACCAGACCAGACCTGCTGAAATGGATCGGCGCCACAGGCCCGCGCATTTTCAGCAGTTAAGCTTAATTTTACAGAAAAAATCGCATAAAATCAGCATTTTGATATTATGACATTAATTTCTGAAGTTGCATACTTAATGTACTTGTTTTTAATGTGTATTAATATTAAGAATATCATATTAATAGAAATAAATTAAACAGGCAAAATACCAAAATCATAACTATACACACAGAAATAAATACTATAAACATGAAAAAGAAATTATAAATACAAAATTAAAAAAAAAAAAAGACTAAACAAGGATTACCAGTAGGTAATTAAATTCCAATTAAAAAATTCTACTGTGTGTAAAATAATTCAAAACAAGGCTCGACACACAGTTCTACATTGCATATTTTGCAAAATACATTGTTTGCTTTTGCTTTTCCTTAGATTTAGCGCACACAGCGCATCTTCTCCTACCTTTATTAGCTTTTCTGTCAACGTAAATTTTTGGAAACTGTCTTCCAGTTAGACGGAAAGGTCGAGTGTCCGATGATTTTGGATAAATTTTTAAGTTTTTAACTAAGGTCTCTTAGCCACAGCTAACGAAAATGAAACTGAATACAATCCAAACACCATGTCCCAAAACTTCTTCAAGAGACACTCAGAAATATTTCATCCTCAAACCCTGTATGACATCAGGTTTATACAGTCAAAAGTCTTTAATCCGGACTCGTCGGGACTTCGGCGATTCCGGATTATCGATTTTTCCGGATTATAGATCATCAGTTTTAAATCTGGTTAAGATGGCATGCAGAAATTATAAAAATTAAAAAATATGAAACCGTAATTTATAAATAATGAGCAATTATGATCTAAAGGGTATATCAAAATTTACAAAAAAAGAAGCTTAATATTTATTTGTTTACTTTATTAAACATTTCTTTTAACGCGAGCATGCGTAAAGCATACCTTACGCATAGCCGAAATTAGAAAATTGCAACCAGAAAACTATTTGATTTGTATTCGTGATATTTATAATGACGAGGAATTTGATTTAAATCATATCAAAGAGAGTACATCGATATTAAATACTACATATAGTCGAGATTAAATACTACATTTAGTAAGGAATTATAAGCCGAATAAAATAAAAACATCTGCCCTGAAGATAACGATAGTGCTGACAGATCAACTTCCAGTTCATTGCCGGCGGGACGTCCCCCCCCCGCGCAGAGCAGCGTGAAATTGATAAACAGATTTCGGAACGGTTAGATAAACAAAGGATATTATGGCTTTATCCATTTTTTTGTAGCAGTTCGTTTTTTTGTTTGATGGACATCGAAACATACTTTCGTTTTCTAGATCCTTTGGGAGCTCCAGCATCGGAAATTCTATTTGACATAATCGAAAGTTTAAGCGTACTTTTATAAAATTGCTCTTACAGTCTGCAAAAAATAATAAGCCGGATCCAGTTCGAAGATTAAGGAACAACGCAATCATCAACATTAACTGAAATAGATAATTAGATAATTTTAGCTTATACCGTCCGTTATACATTAAACGCGCACGCGAAAACGTATTCTGCGCTTGCGCAAATGCATATGCGCAGTCGTAAATGTCTTGCGCGCACGCGTAAAACGCCTATGCGCATACGTCCACGCGGCGCATGCGCAGAAAGATTTTAGCTTTGAGGTCCGGATTATGGGTGTCCGAATTAACGACTTTTGACTGTATTAGAAAACTTACTGTTTTTCTAAATCGAAAACAGTGTCCACGATAACTGGAAAGTGATAAACGAAAGACTCCCCACTGGCGGGATATCCGTTACTGATAACATCAATATATACATTATATATAATTACATTAAATGTAAAGTAAATACATTATATATACCAAAATATAATGCCTTTGTCTTATATATATAACGACCTATTAAATCGAGTAAAGGGGAAAAAAAAAAAAAAAATGCTGGCTCTTTCCTGAGAAATGCGAGCGAGTAAGACGCATTACGCATTGAGAAAGCTGAGTCTTTCCCCTTCTGTAATAATGTTACTTTTTAATTAACCAAGAAAGCTATGTTAAGTTTCAAAATAAAAAGAAAAACACATAAAAAAGAAAGGAAATCCTAACTAAATAAACAAAAATGCCTGTGCCCCTTTAATTCACACTTATAAAGAGTCGTGATTCCCAGTTTGTTTATTTCAATGAATCTATCGGAACCAGAAGCACAAAACAGAAACTAATGCCACTACATGAAGGTCAAATGCTGTATGAATCAATCCATGTGAAAACAGTTACCACTTGTCTCCATCTACTGACTTTTAAAAATTCAAATAAATTGTTCTGTTTTAATGTTACGTACACATGACTTTGGGTTGGTAGGAGCAGAATCATTGCGCCACATATACGTGATGCTGGTCCTGAACGGGTTAACAACGTGGTAATGAAAATTCACATCTGACAATTCAAGCATAATAGCAATCATGGATGAATACCACATACAAAAAATGCTTGGGTTAACTAATTGAAATATCTATTGGTTACATGGTCTTCAAATAAAAAATAATAATGATAATAACTAAAACTACTATAAAATTCAACATTTATATCAATAGATTACACTTTTCATAAAAATTACCTTCATCCATCCAGAAAAAACCTTGTGGGATGACCGAGAAGACCAGATGATTGCATGTAAACATTCAGCATCATTTAATATGGAGGTACCGGTAGAAATAGATTCAAGGGACTGGATAGAGGGCGGTAAACACAACAGCAATCTCCATGCAATACTCACTGAATACTGAACAGCACACAAACCCTAAAATTGAAATTTACAACACTGAATTTAATATAACGCAGACTTGCTATTTGCCTTTAGACTATAAAAGTTAACTTCATAGTGCATTTTCATTACTAGCATTAAAAAATTGAACGGAAAAATAAAATCAGGAGCATAAGTAAAAATTTCGATTAATAGTAAAATAAAACATCTCATGTTTACTTTCAATGAATAATATAATTCAGGCATCATTTACTAAAATGCATTAAACTATAACTATAAAATATATTAATTTTTAGTTAATAAACCCAAATTATGAGAAATAAAACAAATTCAACTTACCAGAAAAGAAAGTTGCTCAGATGTGTTTCGATCGGGCATGTCGCATTGAGAGGCCAGATAAATTAGGTTTTGAACAGAGTAGTAAAAACTTGGATATTTTAATATATCTCCACTGCTCAAAATGAAACTCAAGGCCTACAATAATTAAATTGCAATTAATTTACAGTTACTAGAAAGCGAGACAGAAATGCGAGTTTCATATCTGGCAATGTAAAATAATCAAAATCAGTTTTTTTTATGATAAATATTTAAAAAATTAGATTCTACATTGATAATAATGTACTTACAAAACCATCTAATTTTGGAACTTCTTGATTGCTAAAATCAACTGACATCAAATTAAAGAACTTTGGTTTAGATACTCCTCCTAGGAAAAGAAAAATGTATGTAAGTAACAGGCTGGATCTGAAAGGAAACAATAACTAAACTAAATCAAAATAACTTAAATATCTCCTTTCAAAATATGCCTCATTTATGATAAAACAATGATCTATTTAAATTTGTGTGTGGCACGCACATATGCATGTTTGTGTTCATCATACATAATGAACACAAACATACATCGGAGCTATTATATACATATAATAACACAAAACAAATTAAAGCTAAAATATGTTACACAATTGAACATAAACCATAGATAAAGCTGCAGAAATATATAATAATTAATAAAGACTAAAATCTGGTTATTTAATTGAAACAGGAGTATAAAAATTACTTGAAAATAAGAACACCCTTTTTTTAGCTACACTTTTGTTATAAAATTTGGTGGAGTCTTTTTTTTTTTTTGATAAATGAAATTGTAGAATGAGAAAAAGAAGTTCAATTATCATAGTATATAGAATAATTATAGCATAGTTTAAATACTAAATACACCACAATGATAATTACCACAAGATTCTCTTTCTCAAAATTACTGCAAGAGAAAATAACTATTCACCTATGATTCTTAAAATGTATCCTAGAATGTTCTTACTTTTTAGTAAATGCAGTATTTAATAACATAAGTTTCTCCCAACCAGAGGCAGTTTGACAATTATAAGAATACATAAATACAAAAATAAAACAATAAAAATGTGAAAATAGACTAAGAAAAATTTAAATATGTGACAAAATAGAAAAATTTTAGAAGTAAAATATAAGACACAATGCAGTATTTACAGTGGAATTGCAAGTGTGTAAACGTTGAAATAAGTGTCACACAGATATATAGAAAGTACTTCAAAATAAAGTCGTCTAACACAAGTGCATCTGTATGGGTGAAGCTAAACAATAAACATCTTGTATATGATGAAAAATACTGGTTATGAGCACGAATAAAATAACAAACTGGCTGTGTAAGCCTTCTTTTGTCATTTAACCCAGGTTTGATCATACTTTGGTATGTCATACCCATCTCCTCCATTTTTTCACTGTTTTTCTCCGAGCTTTTTTATAAAATGGATGATTATTTCTTGGAGCTGCCCTCAAGGTCATAACTTTGGAAAGGAAAAATAGATAAAAGAGTTCTGAAAATAGATATCATGAAATCTGCAGGGTATGTCACACACAGTGCAAGCATTTCTGTTACAAGTCTGAGTACAGGTAGATGCATTAAAATCATTCTCTCATTATGGTGCATTTTCAAAGTTATGGTGAAGAAATGTGACATTTAAGATATGTATTTGATACTGTGTCTTCGGATGAAGAAACTCTTGAGAAAGGTAATGAGTTTTCTGACAATGAAGAGCTGGATGATGAAAAAAATTACAGTGAACTCGAATCTTTGACGGAAATAGAATATGATTTAGAGAGCGATCTTTCTGATTCAAATGAAAGTGACTATTTTGCAGGAAAGGATAATATAACAAAATGGAGTAAATTGAAATTCCATGGAAATGTTAGAATTTATGCTAAAAATATAATTTAAAAACTCTCTTGAAACACATGCGTTTCAAAAATGTCGCTTCTCCTTTGGAAGCTTGCAACTTACTTTCATTTTCTAATTTGAGAAAGAAACTATATCAATGCACAAATATTTCTATTAGCTTGATAAAAGAGCACTTTTCTCAAAAAAACCTATGCAAGAGAGACTAATGAGGATGAAATTAAAGCATTTATTGGATTGCTGTGACTGTGCAAGTAAGTATGTCATTTGCATTTTAAATACATGTTTTGATTTGTAATATTTCTGGATGACATTTTAGAAGTTAATAGCATAAAAGCATACTTCTAATGAGAATTAATTTTATTAATCACTTGTTAAAATTATTCTTATTTTATTCTTTGTAAACATAAAATGAAAGATTTAGATGTTTGAAGCAGTTGACTCAAATCACTAGAAGCAATTGACTCAAATTTTTATGTTTTAGCAATTGACTCGAATTTAGATGTTTGAAGCAATTTCCAATGCTTCCCGCTACAAACTACTGCATTATTATATACAATAACATATGCTCCTCTGATTTAAATCCCATTGAACAAGTGTTAAGACACTTTAGGGACACACTTGCAGGCACGATCTTACCCTCCAGAGAAATAATCCATTTTCATGTAATGGTATGTAGACATCAGACAGTCAACCGAATACAAATCAATCATTTTGTACCCAGCTAAATCATTAATGTAACTGAAAACAACCTATTCTTTCCACCAATCTAAACAGATCGGCAATCCATCTCGCCATATGTTGAATAATTTTCTACATTAGTGCACAAGGATCTGTATTCGAAAAACAAAGCACTCTCATCTTCCCGACATATTCCTCTCTTTCTTTTTTTGAGATGCCCTTTGCTTTGGTGATGCACAAACCTGCCAGAGCAGGAAAGAATTTCATAAACTAGCTCCAATATGTCAATATTTTTTTAACTGTTAGTAGAAAATTGCCAAAAATCATACAACGTAGAAGAATACATCACAACAGATAAAAAATGGAATCTTTCAACCTTGATGCCCATAAAAAAATCCAAATATGGAATCGAAATTTTTGTGCTGGTCGATCCAGAGTTTTCTATACTTGGAAATCAGGAATTTACGCAGGCCATCAGCCAAAAGGTCCATTTCAAGTGGATACCTCTCCTAGTAGTATGGTAAAAGCACTAATGGAACTGCTTTACAACTCGGAGAAATTTAACAATGGATAACTGGTATACATCTTATCCACTTTATCAAGAAATTTTGGGGAAAAAAAAAAAAAAAAAAAAAAAAAAAGCTATTGGAACTTTGACGAAAAATAAAAGAGAAAATTCCTCCAATATTTTTTAACACGATTAAGAAAGAAGATTACTCCTCCCTTTTTGAGTTTCAGAAAGAAACAATTATTGTTTCTTATACACCCCCCCCCCAAAATGGAAATGTGCTTCTTCTATCTACAATGCTCAATGATGATGCAGTTGATCTTGATAATGGAGAAGTCATGAAACCAGAAATAATAACTTTTTATAACCTTACTAATGGTGCCGTGGATGAAATGACTGCAACGTATTCAACAGTTGGAAAAAAAAAAAAAAAAAAACAAGTCATTGGCCTATGGCTTTTCTTATTCCCTATTGAAAGCTGTTGCAATAAATGCATGGACAATTTTGTTATCAACAAAGAAACCACCTAATGGGCATCGAATCCAACGTTCATATCTGAAAACTTCAACTGATAGAAGACTATAAGATAAGAAGCAAACAAGCAATTCTCCCACAAAGCCTAAAAGTAAAACTGGGCAACAATGAGGCCGATACACCTCCTGCCAGGTAGATATGAAGGTAAAGATGACATATAAAAATTATCCTGAATGTAGGGCCAAAAAAACAGAAAAAAGAAGCTTGTCTATAAAAAATGTGAAAAATATGTATGCATGCACTTGCCGAAAGTGTGCAAATTAAAGGTAAAACTTCTAATATAAGTTTAAAACTAAGTTCTCTCTTTTCTGTTTTTGTTTCATACTTTATGTAGTTTTAATGGTAAAAGGGACGAAGAAACCCCCCTGGGTATGTCATACCCCGTGGAAGCAATCCCATTAATTTTTCATGCACATGTAATGTCGGGTTAAGTATGCCGTGACAAACCTCAACAATTGATAAACCTTCAGATCCTTTTTTTTTTCACAAATTCTGGCAGCATATTAAAGACACTGTTTTAATTATTCACAAAACTTCTAATAAGACAGCTTTTGCAACCACAACCACTTGTTATTGATGTTTGATATCTCATAATATGCAAATTACAACCTGTCCACTGTATGTTCAGAAGACATTTTTTGCTTATTTTTAACTAGGGAATGTTCTGCCAACATTTGGTCACTTAATCGTGAGGCATTTTGCATAGTAAACTAAGTCTTCACATTCTCATTGTTACTGTTCAATTATTTGTTAATTGTAAATTATGTGTTCCCACTATATATCCATAAGAATGTTCTAGCTTATCTTCAGCCACAGATAGCATTTCCCCCTCCCCTCTTAACTTTGTTCTAACATAAGCTATATGTATATACAAGGTAGCCCAAGAGGAAAGTAATTCAGCTTCTAAGGTACGATATACACCATCTTTTGAATAGATCCACATAGAAAGAGTAAATGGTAAATTAAAATAATGCAGAATATTGCTTTACACTGCTACAAAAATTCACTGGGCGGATGGGCACTCAGCAGACAGAGAACAAGAACCTCTTCTAAAGAGCTTGTTTTCAGGTTTGAAGATAGACTACTTTCCCGTTTGCCATTCTCTGTTTTGTCTGATGACCAAAGAAAATAAACACTTATGCTTCTAACAAACATATTTACTATAGATAATAATTGAAAAAACATCAAGAATACTTACTATACACATTAAATACTGTAAGAATTTACAGCCACTCCTTAAAAAGCATAAACAACCAAATCTTCACTGCTATAGCAAATTAGGGTATATACGTTTTATCCCATTGACCATGAAAGTTGGCTACCACTGAACTAAGAAAATTGGCGAAGATCCCACCGAAGTTGTGTCAGTCATTCTTGCAGAATTCTGAAGGAACTGGCATCCCTTTATTTAATAAACAATCAGTGTTTGACTTGCTTCGTTTCTGCACTTCATACAAAGGCGTTCATCGAATTTTACTATACTGTTAGGTCCCCTGATTTCACCGCATGCTCTGTTTAGAAAGCTATGAGTGCAATAGTTAATTTCCCTAATATACTGCAGTTTTTTCAGCCATATTCAGATTATCATTTCTTGTTAATTAATATTCACTACTTTTGATAGTAAGATCCCATAACTTTGAAACTAATCTATTGTTTACTGATGTAGAAGAAAAGTCCCGAATTTTAATATTTTTTAAAATTCAAAATGAAAAGGAAAAATACACATATAATAGTTAATTTAGAATTTTGTTCATTGAAGCAAAACATGGCTTATCAAGAATTAGTCGGAGTTACGTCAAACCAAAAGTGCTTATATTCTGGGTGTGTTGCTACATCACACGCTCATAACTGTTGCTAAATTGAGCTCCTTGGTGACTGTTACATAGTCAAGGAAAAATATGTAAGTAGCCAAATAAATAACAAAACAAAGTAAAAATTCTCAATCTAATATACACCCCTCATATAAAAATTTGCATAGGCAATTCTATCCAAGTGATTTTCACTACTTTTTCATTGTTACGGATTTAAAGTTCCGTATAGAAGAGTCCTTTGCATTCATTACACATGAAAATTTCTGCCAGGTTTTAACATATCAAATTTCAGGTTTGATGTATATTTAAGAAAAAGAATCAAGGTACAAAGTGAGAAAGTCATTTTTTTATCATAATCAAGAAAACATTTACTCATGACATTTTCAGAAAATTTAAAATTTCAGGGCTAAACCCGAAATACTCAGAGGGTTAAAAGTTAATTCATAATTATATGAAAACACAGAAGTTTGATGAAATTTTGAAAAAAGAAAACTGGTTGGTTTATACTAACTATATCAGTAGCTCTGGTAACAAAACAAAACAAAACAAAAACAAAAAACAAACAAAAAAAAAAAAAAAAAAAACTAATTTAATGTAAAACCACATTTACGATTATGCAATAAATGATATAATAACTGAGTCAACTTTATAATTTAAGTAAAATTTCTGACAAGGTGAGTCTTACTAAAACAAAACAGAAAAAAATTACTGCAAGTTTGTTGCTGATTTTTTCATGATTATTAACAGAATAAAGTGATCAATTTCTGTCCTTGTTTCAAGTTTATGTAAAATCAATATAAGCAGAAAGTAAAAAGTGTACAGAGGAGAATAAGCAATGCAATGCATATAAAACCAATAAAAATCTAAAATAGAACATACCTTGACTTTCTTCTGGAGGCAAATTTTTTACATAATTTTCCTCAATATCTTTGCAAGGAAAAAATAATTTTGTCTGCTTTTTTGTATTGTCTTTCTCAGTTAAAGAAGTAATACTTTGGAAACTGAACAAATTTTTCTGAATCTGTAAGAAAATGAGGTGAAAAATATAATATCCATAAATATTACATAAAAGGAAAGAAAAAGGAAGAAAGGTAAAATTATCATTCATTTAAGACATTTCACTGGAAATCTAAGCCATCCTTTGATACATTTATCTCTTGCACTAACATACAACAGCTCCCCCCCAAAGTCAAAAATTATCAGAATAGTACACAAATAGATAAAAGATTATGAATAATTCCGCATTAAAGTAAAATTTGTATTATTTGAAAATAATAAATATTTTCTGTGAAATTAAACTAGAAAGCTTTAGGTAGTCAATTTGCTCCATGGAAGGGAGGGGAATTTAAAATGTTTTAACAGCACTTACATTTGGCTGTTGTTGAACCATGAAAGCTGGCGGAAGATCCTGCCAAAATTATGTCAATCATTCTTGTGGAATTCTGAAGGAACTGATTCCTCTTTATTTAATAAACAATCAATATTTGACCTGCTTTGCAAAAAGGCATCTGTCAATTTCTACTGCTTCGTAGGCCATCCGATTTTACCAAAACCTCTATTTAGAATGCTACAAGTTCAAACTTCTAGCAGGTAATTGTCCCAGTCTATTACTATTTTGTTGGCCATATTCAGCTGACCATATCATGTTCATTAATACACACTTAAAAAAAAAATTTGTAGAGCCCATACCACTGAAATTTTAATTTTTTTTCTCAAATGCAAGGAAAAAATATAGGAATAGAAGTTAATTTATAACCACCTTGTTATAAAAAGCACAGTTTATAAAAATTCAATAAGGTTTCGGAGACTTAAACCTTGAGACGATTCCAGATTACATCAGAAGATCTAATGAAAAATTCTTCAACAAAGCTGTGCAATGTGACTTTGTTAATTACTCCCAAGTCTTTAATTATGAAATTCTCTTTGAAGATAGAAGCATCAGACCACTTACAGCTCACACCTTCATGGGAGGAGATGACAATTTTTTCACTTAGCTCCTGAATCGGTAGCTGTTTATACTTCCAATGCATCTGATTTTGATTGAAGTTCTTCTGTAGCTTGAATATTATTCTTGGTGAATTATAAAACTAATGCTGTGAGATTTTTTGCATTAACTAGTGTTGTAAATAGGTTGCTTAGGTTGTTGTCCAGTTGCTGTAGTGTATTGCGTTGAATAGTTGTATTAAAATTGTGTTGTATAGTTGTATTGTATTGTGTTGTATTTAGCACTATTGATTGAGGTTGTTTAGTTGTATTTGAATTTGTCATTGGAACTATTGCTGTAGTGTATCTTCTCATATTGTTATGATTGATTTGCATTGTCTTGGGTCCTCCTTGAAGGCTATGATCGCTCGTCACAAATTTGCGAACTTGTTCGATTGGATTGTCTTGCTCCTTTTGGTATTTCTCTTCTTCCCCTTTTCTCCGTTTTCTCATCTGAGATTTTCTCCATGTCAGGATTTCTTTATATCAAGTGCCCTAGGGCTTTAATTTTGGAACCGGCAACACTGCTCTTCGCAATAGCTTGGTCAATTATAGTCTAAGTAAATAAACTCAAATTAGCTATAGCAACGAATATGGACAGATGACATGAACTTGGAGAAGCGGAAAGAGTGACGATCACTGGAGCCCACAGATTTGGGCATTCGACCTGCGAGATTTCCAACAAATTTCAGATACCCCAATCGACAGTGAGCGATGTTATCATGAAGTGGAAATGGGAGGGGGTTATGACATGATGATTCAGAACAATTAAACCAAAAATATTAACAGATCGTGACTGCCTAAGCTTGAAACACGTGATGAAGACAAATAGGAAGGCATCGCTACAGATAGTGGAAGAGGAGTTTTGATCGGCTTCCAGTAGTGTTGTAAATGTATGTACTGTCCGTCGGGAGATCATTGCACTTGGTTTCCATGCTTAAGGAGATTTCCTTCTCCTTAAGCATGTTTTCTTGACAATTAGAAATTTGTCTCAACATGCAAAACAATGTTCTCATTAGTTTCTGCATGTTGTATCTCCTAACTGCCAACCTCTCCACAATGTACTACCTATGAGCATTTACTTGATCTGGTAAAAGTTAAACAGTTCGACCCCCCCCCCCCGGACATACGTGAAACAAATTATCACTATGTCTGAAAGTAATTAAAAATCACATAATAAATTTCAATAAAGGTTTAAATAAGCTTCTTATTCAAAAAGAACTTGGAACATATAAGCCTGTTCTTATGCTAACAAAATCAATTACAGTTTGTGGTGAAAATAACAAGTCAAATTCAAATTAAAAATATGGACTAGTGGTTAAAGACTATACAATTTAATTTCAATTTAATCTGATTCAGTAACTCTATTGTCATAATAAACTCAAATGTCAGCAGCAGTAATGGAAAGACTAATAATTACAAATTATCAGAGCTGACAGAACTAATGCAGGGAGCAAGTGGAGGTCAGAAACACACTCGTCTTACACTAAAATTGGACAGTTTAAAAACTGTCCGATTTGCATTCTGGTGAGGAAATAGAAATGGGAAATTATAATAAAGGCTGAAACTGTAAATAACTGGTTAATTTACATAATAATATCTATACATATCTTTGAAGAATAATTTTCTTTTTCTTTACACATTTAGCTTCTTTTTTCAACATGTTTCCTTTTCACTTAAAATTTTTGGGATTTAATTAAAGACTTCTGTTATTCTAAAAGACTAAATGAATTTAGAATCTATGGAAAAAGCTAATTTTATTTCTTCAGTAATATGAATGTACAGAAAAAGCGGCTAATTTTATTTCTATAGTAATATCATTCAGAAGAAATATGAAATACATATGGTAAAGTCTGGTCACAGAGCTGGTGTGGCATAATTTTTAGAATTTAGGGACATACTGAACAACAAATTCTAGAAATGGCAAAACTTTTAGAATTTAGAGCAGGCACTGGAAGCAGAATTTAGAAAGGCACCAAGCAGTAGAATTTCCACAGAGACTGCATCAGGTAGCAAAATGCCTAGTGCCAGATCTCTGTGTATGATGCATTAAGACATATTAGATGAATCTTTTGAATTGTCAGTTTTCAATTTCTTTATTAATAAAAAATTTCCTTTCTTTAATGCCTGTCCACATGATAAGATTAGAAGTACTTTTGATATTTTCCATGCTTGTGTCTAGTGAAAAGTAGAGAAAATAATGGGAAGTTAAAAATGTTAATAAAGCGATTCTAGAATCAGAAGTAAAACATTCAACTATTATGTTTTCATTGTTCTTCCAGATGTTCTCGAATATGTAAGAAACAGCGTGTTACTACCATGGTGACATTTTTCATTTTATCACATTTTTCTGGAAGCTTTTAGAATCGTGGGTCTATAAATTTGCCTTAAAATCTTTCTAAACTTTACAAGTTTCAATGTCTAAAATCCTAAAGAAAAATTACTCCTACCAATTCTGTAACAGTAAAAACCCAGAAATGTTTAAAAAAGGAAAAAAAAAAAAAAAATAGAAGGAAAAAAGTGTGAAATTGATTTTATAGAGAAAACTGATGCATTTCTGAGAATTCTGATCATTCTGAGAAATGGGAAAAATTCTTACCATGAAAAAATTAAAAACACATTTTTAATTAATTACACAGCTATTTTTCTCTTGCTAAAAACTGTTTTGTAAACTGTGCTTTATAGCATTATTCCTTGCTTATTTTTCAGATTCAAAGACTTGTATAAAATGTGGCAAAAATGGAACTTTATAATATGACAGTGAAAAATAAAAATGCTTTATTTTAATGTTATTTCTTAAATATAATCCCAATATATTACCATTATTTTTAATGAAATTTATCAATGTTACGAATGCTTCTAAAAAAAATCGTCAAAAAATACACTGATTTCGGAAATTAAAAAGTTTCCATAGAAACCGAAACTTAAAATCGCCAAAATGTTGATAAGTCACCAAATTTAGAACCGTTTAATAAAAGAATTCACATCCCCAAAAGCGGAAAGTTGTTTGGGAGCTCTTCATTACAAAAAATGAAATAGTTTTGAAATGCTTATGTTTCACTTCTTGCTCAGAAACTCGAGTATCCCACCATTATTTATATTAAAAATAGGAACAAATTAGAACTCATGAAACCATTCAAAAAATAGCCATATTTGTCAGTGAATCGCCAAAAATATTCCTGCAAAATGCTAATTCACACTCAAAATAGCAGTCGTAAAAACAGAGACAGAAATTTCAGATGATTAAAATTAAGGACCTTCTGCCGATTTTGGCCAAAATTAAGGACTTTTAAGGACCAAAAATTGATTCTAAAAAACTTAGCGACATTTAAGGACTCTTCAGGATCGTACGAACCCTGATCACAAGTTGGTGGAAAGTCATCTTCAGAGGGTTGCGGATGTAATTGTGCCAAAAAGTGGCCCCACACGATACTGATGGACTGCTGAAACCGAATTAACATACTAGTTAGGGGTGTCCAGTGACGAATAGCCAGATAGTGATATTGTCAGATAGATATATAAGTACTGTTTTAACAAATGCTAAATAAATCCAAGTCCTTGTTTGATTGAAACTTGGAAAAGAGGAGTTTTGATATGCTTGAGTAATGCAACAAACTAAAAATTAAATGGATTAAAATTAATACTTTAAAATTTACTTTTACTCTGTGTATTTTAATTTCACCAATTAACTAGACATGATACAACACCAGACAGAATTATTACAAGTTTAAAATTAAAAATTTATAATCAATGTTTACTCAATAAAATGCTATTGTTACCTGCTCAATTAACGATGAAGGAGCATCATATAAATTTCTCATCATATATTCAAATATCAGCAACATTCTTCCCATATATAAGATCTGAAGATCTCTTAAAGGACTAAAAAGAATTCAAAATTAAAACAGAAAATATAAATGTATTCAAAATTAAAACAGGAAATTAAACATACTTGATGACAATATTGACAATTACAGAACCAACAACAAAAACTAACATACCTCATTACTGTTGAAGAAATTTCCATGATAGTCTGAGCCATCATTAATAATACACTTTTTTTCTGCATCAAGTGTAAATTATGAAACAGAAATAAAAGCAGCTGGGCATGTTCCACATTAATATCTAGTTAATAAATAAATATATTGAAAAGTGAAAAATAAAAATAAAAATAAAATCAGATAACTTTTAAAAACAAAATGCATTAAATTAGAATAAACCTCTGATAATTACAACTCCCTTTTTATAAAAAAATGCTAATGCTGTAATTTTAAAAAGACAAATAAATTATTTTTTTTTACCTTCCCCTTCTTCAACAGATGTGTACGCTGATGGAGTCAATATTGCTCTTTTCAGAGTATTCAATAATCTTTGCCAAATCAAAACACATGATGCTTCACTTTCACTTCTAAGCTCATCTTTTTCCCTTTGCTGTCGTAACAGCAAAGTCTAAAAATAATAATTTAAATTAGGTATGCATGTTAATTTCAAAGCTTGACTATTTTAGCACAAAAATGAAAGCATTTTTACTTACTTAAGAAAGTATTTATTTATGTGAGTATTTAATATTTACAGTGAAGGAAAAAATATTAGGATGGCTAATGCAAATGTGACTCCTTTAAAAACTGATTTTTTATCCGAAGTGCAAGATATGCATCAGACTTAATATGATACAAAAAGGATAAATCTTACAGACTAATAATATTTTGTCTTAATAAGAACTATTATTTTATCATTTTAATTCATTCACAGTTTGAGACGGTTAAAATTTCAAATTCACATTAGCTGCAATATGTACTACATGGTTTGACTCTTTCCGAATGAGCGTCCCATATATGCATCATTGGAGATTGAATTTAGGGGACGTGCAATGTGTATATGCATTTTAAGCTGGAACACTTTTTTTTGAAGAGCACTAGATGGCACCCTATATCCATTACCCTTCTGAAATGAACAATTTTAGGTTCCTGACCTTCAGTTTGTATACATTCTGCCTGTGTTTTAGTTATCAGCTGTTGCAAGGGTGGTGGGAAAGCGCAATGTAAACAGAGCTGGGCTCTTTAAAATGCCATCTGATAATATAAACATTTGCATTTCTGATTTATATTCAATTCCTCCTTTTTATTCTCCTTCCCCTTTACTACAGTCAAAAGTCGTTAATCCTGACTCGCCGAGACTTCGGCGATTCCGGATTATAGATCATCAGTTTAAATCTGGTAAGATGGCATGCAGAAATTATAAAATTAAAAATATGAAAGCATAATTTATGAAATAAAGAACAATTATGATCTAAAGGGTATCAAAATTTACACACACAAAAAAAAAAAAAAGCTTAATATTTATTTGTTTACTTTATTAAACATTTCTTTCAATGTAAGTTGTTTAAGTTGCTTTGTTTTATGTGATAATACTTTCTCTTTAATTCTACAAACAGACATAATTTCTTGTTCAGTTACAAAGTTTCGCTGTTCAAGTCCTATAAATTCCTGTGTTGAGACTAATTTGTCAATCGGAATTTTTTCGTTTTCAATAACCTCTGTGTCACTTTCTTCACTATCGGAAGCGAATTATAATGATGAGGAATTTGATTTAAATCATATCAAAGACGGAGTACATCGAGATGAAATACTACATTTAAAGAATTATAAGCCAAATAAAATAAAAACATCTGCCCTGAAGATAAGGATTGTGTTGACAAATCAACTTCCAATTCATTTCGCGCAGCGTCAATCATCAACAAAATCCATTTTTATCCGGCTCCCCCCCCCCGGCCGCAGAGCAGCGTGAAATTGATAAACAGATTTCAGAATGGTTAGAGAAACAAAGGATATGCCTTTATCCATTTTTTGCAGCAATTCCACTTTTTGTTTGATGGACATCGAAACATACTTTCGCTTTGTAGATACTTTGGAAGTTGCAACATCGGAAATTCTATCGAATAACATAATCGAAAGTAATTAAGACACAATAACATGCGGAATAGATACTAATTCAGAAGTCAAACAACAAAAATCAGCGTTATATTTTCAAAATTTTCTCAGGACTAGTTTCGATGGTTTTACCGAAACTACAGCTGCGCATATGCGTGTCTTACGCGCCTGCATAAATGCCTATGTGCATACATCAACGCAACGCATGCACAGAAAGTTTGTAGCTTTGAGGTCCGGATTATAGATCATTCCGGATTATGGGTGTCCGAATTAACGACTTTTGACTGTATATATGGTCTTTTAGGGTTAAAATCTGGGGTTCTGCTACATTTTGTGTTGCCTTCCAATATATTGCGGGTCCTTCCCTTTTTATTTTGGAAAGTCTTACTCCAGTCTATTATGATGCAAAGGCGCTTCCTATTAGAGGAAGAACACACTCGTATGGTAATTGAACTAATTACTGACACAGATTAGAATGATGATACATTTTCTAAAGAGTTAGAAAGTGATACTTTTGGTGATTCTGATACGGAAATTTTAACAAAGACAGAGCTCAGTGAGTGTCTTTCTTCAAATTCCCATTAAAGTGCGACTCAAGATACTTTATCTTGGATTACCATTCTTGAAGAATTGCATCAGCCAGATTTTCAGATGTAAAAACTGAGAATATAAAAGTATTTTTTGCAATGATAATACCGATGGGCATTATCGAGAAGCTTAATTTGAAAATGTATTTCACTATAAATGAAATACTCGCTACTCCATTTTTCAGTAGAGTTATGCCTAGAGATATGTTCTTTAATATTTTTAAATTTTTACATTTCACCTCAGACAAGAGCACTAAAAAGTTGGGAAAACTAGTACTAATGGTAGAACATCTAAACAATAAATTTAAAAGAAACTACATATCCGAGGAAAATATTTGCATTGATGCATCCTTTTTGCTTGGAAAGGACATCCAAAAGATCGTGTTACAAGATAAAAATATGTAAATTATGGGAATCAGTTACTGATTATGTTAGAATATGTTAATTGACAGTGGGAAGGACACAGAAATGTGAAGCAGCGACTGCTCTTACGGAAAAATAGTGAAAACATTGATGAGCAACTTATGTAAGAAAGGGCATAATTTATATATGGATCACTTCTTTAGTTCCACATCACCAGTGGAATATTTGCATGCTGTAAAAATAAATGTTTGTGGAATAGTATTAAAAACATGAAAACGAATGCCTAAAAACCTTTCCCGAAACTAAAAAAGCAACTGGAAGTAATGCAGCAAAACAATATGAACATCATTGCCTTTAAAGAAAGAAAGATGTTTTTATGCTATCGAGCATACATGCACCAGAAATGGCAAAATCTGGCAGAGAAGATAGAATTATTGGAGAAGACATTTTAAAACCTAAATGTATTATAGACTATAACAAAAACATGGGTGGACAAACACTCATGTTTTTGTTATAGTCTCCTTTGTTAACAAAAACATAGGAGATGCAGTTATGGTATAGATGGTGTAGACATAGGAGATGCAGTTATGAGTTTTGTTTTCGAAAACCAGTTAAACAAAGAATTTCTTTTTGGGTTTTCGGATATTTGGGTAGATGGAGCAAAAATGAACTCCAACATCCTTTTGGGGAAAAAAAAAAAAAAAAAAAAGGCATTAAATTTTTTCCCCAATTTAAATTAAAACTGATTAAACAAATTTTTGAGAACTATGGAAATTATTGAGAAGAAAAGCAGTCTGCTGACAGATCTGTACCAACATCCATCCGATTATCTGGTATTTTCCTACTCTCTGTATAAAAACAAAAAGGGTGAAAAACCCAAAAGAAGGTCCATAGTGTCACAAACCATGCTAAAACAGATAAAAAAATCAACAGTCATTAATCAACATTATGCTTGTGGAACATGCAATGTAGGACTTTGCGTTTCTCTGTGCTTCATTTTAAAATTTGTTACTTCTTACTGTAAATAATTTTTATTGTGTTGTTTTATTAATTTTAAACTTAATGAATTTGGTCAATTAAAACTATGGAATAATTTGAATAGTGCTTCCAAAAATTATTTTACAAGATAAATAATTTTAAAAATATATTTTCATGTAAAATAATGCTAATTTTAACATATATAAGAGCTTAAGTAATAATCTAAAATGGTACCAAACCCGCAGGACGTAAACAAAGGTTCGCCTACACAAAAGGGTTAAGCTTCAATTCAGCAAAACTAAACTTAAACATGAAAAAAAAAAACAGGTTGAGATCAAAATGAAATCTTTTGCTTGATCAAATACTTTTTCAGCTATTTGAGGAATATGAGATTTTAAACTAATATCTAACATTTGTTTAAAATATTTATCCAACAGCAAATCTGACTGATTACCTTCCAGAAAAGTAAGGTATAAAGGATCACTCATAGATTCAATCGGTAATAATTTCATCATAATCATCAATGATTCACAAACAGAAGTTTTCCAGGTGATTGAGTGTTTTGAATAATGATGTTTGATGGCTGCTCACTTGGATATATATGGTCATCTGATTGACTCATGTTAAGTTTCCATATGCAATGAGAAACAAGTTTAACTGACCGAAAACATCTTGAGTGAATATGAATATTTCAAATACTGAGTATAAACTGATTTTAAATGCATTCACTTAACAGATCACACTAATCAAGATCATAAGGAAACTACTTAAAAAATTTTACATTTCTTTAAATCATTTATTAAATCGGGTCAAATGAGTGACTTTGAAATATCTAGATACAGGAAAGGAGATTTTCGATATTAATATCTTGATTTAGCCATTGCAACACTAGTTCTGCCAAGCAATCTCTAACTTAATAATCTGAAACACCACCACATCTTGCATTGATCAAGTCATATATTCCCTCCTTCTTTAACCGTTTGAGTATGGCGAAGCACTATCGCACTTCACTTGTCGTATGCCAAAAATACCGCGCAGCGCGATAGCGCTTCTCTTGTTTTCTATCGAGAATGCGAAGACGCTGCTGTTGGTTAGTATACTTTACGCAATTATTGAGAGCAGTTGTTTTATAGGAATTGGAAATTGTTTTCATTCTTACCTGGTGTTATACTGATAATTACGAAATACCCTTGTCAAGTTCTGATTCATTTGAAAGTGACTATGTTATGAGAAGTGATAATGAAGAGTATAGTAATGACCTTGAAAGATATAGTGGCAGTGACATCATTAGTTCTAAGAGATTATGAGTTATTAGTGATAGCAGTGATGATGAAGTAACTCCAAGTACCTCCGATGACGATATTATCGATGAGTTTTTACCCGTGGATACAATTTTTTCGAACGAATCGAGTACTTTTTCTGAAGTACCTGGACCAAAGCATGCCCTTCCTCCTGATGCGAAACCAATTGAATATTTCAATAATTCTTTTTCAATTTTCAATATTTTTTTTTCCAAGTATATTCACCAACAGAAGCGTCTTCGCATTCTCGATACAAAACAAGAGAAGCGCTATCGCGCTGCGCTGTATTTTTGGCATACGATAGCGCGATAGCGCTTCGCCGGATTCAAACGGTTAAAAAAATAATTTCATGTACATTTTTTCAGATGATATTTTGTATGCACGATTATCTCATTCTTTCTTCATCTGACTTTCATATTGCTAAGGTACTCTAATCAAACATAACAGAAGGAGAGAATTGCTCGATGCAAATGACTAAGTGAATTTCTTTTCAAATTCAGTATTAAATTTAACAACTTGATAAACTAAAATAAAACTTCAGTAAAAAATGGATTTTTTTATTCACTTGTAAAAAATCTGGAGCATGAATATATAACGACAGAAAGATAGTTATTTTTATGCCAAAAAACCTATCTAGAATTTTGTATGGCAATGTAATAAAAAAAAATTCATTAAAATTTATTCACTGCTTCAAAATGATAATAAAATAGCATATTTTTTTTACAACAGCGATAAAAACTGGGGGGGGGGCAAAGCATAATTAAGAATGAAGTACTAGGGATTATTCAGAAGTAATGTTGTATATTGGCACTATATCTATCATTTTTTCAGTATATTACTAACCTGTACATTTTGCATATTCTATGAAATTCCCATTACACTCAAAGCAAATTAATAAAAAGTTTTAAAAAAGGGGGTAGAACAGATATTCTTCAGATGAAATATAAGAAATATAAGATCCATAAAATTTTTTAAACTGTTTTAAAAGCAAAAAAGCCTAAGGTAAAAAAAATCAAAGAATAAGAAAAATATTCAGTTCAAATCTTTAAAAATTGATATAAAAAGTCAGTTAAAAAATGATATACAAAGTTAATTAAAAGTATCATTTATTACCTGTGCCAGGACGGATAACGTTCGGGAGAAGACTTGCAATGGCCAGTTTTCTTGGTTCCAAGGGCTGACACCCAACTGAGCCAAAAGCACATTCTAGATAAATTAATAAACAGATTTACTGTAATACAGGCATGTGCTAGTCATACATGGTTTAAAAATCTTTTTCAGGTAACATATTGTGACAATTATGTTAATTTCCTATCACTACAAGTTAAGTTTTCATATTTTTCTTACTCTTTTTATCTTTTATTACAATAATGCCCTTAATTCAGAAGTTTTATGTAAATCTTAATGAACAATAATAAGAACTGCAGTTTTTTAATTGCAATTTATGAATAAGCTCTGTAAGATTAGTTTATGCTTCAGGAAATTCATGCTGTTTTAAGGCCAGTTTACATTTCTCTGAGTGACATACAGCGAGCTTCTTACTTCGACAATGTAAATGCCAGCGATTCCTCTTCTGCTTTGAACCAGTTGAAAATCTTCTATCCACGCAGTAACTTTGAGCAGTGCTCGCAGAGACATTGTACCCAATTTTTTCCATCATGCTGAAAATGCCGAGATGGAACAACAGTCAAACTGTGGCATTTTTTATTACATATTACTTATGAAGTGTTATGGAATACTTTCACTACCTGAATATTATAGCCATTGTTTACTAATACCTAAATATAATGTAGATGTAACTACTGATCAGAATGAATTTAGGTTTTTGATATTGTAGAAAAAACATAGAAGAAAATTAAGCTAAAGTATCGGATTCAAAATATTTATTTTAAATATATTTTTTTCTGAATTTGCTTTAATCAAAAAACAAATTATATGTTATTCAACAACCCCCAAAAATACAGTTTTCACTTTTAAAAACGTGAAAGAGCAAACATTTGACTGTTGATATAAATTTCAAAAAACCAGTTTCACTCAAGGCCAATCATACCTATAAAATAACCTAAAATTTTGCTTATAGACTTCCTTTTTATTTGAACAACAAATTAGATTTTATTTACAAACGATCAATCGGAAGTATTAAGTTAAAATTCGCCAACAGAATGCATATAAGGTTATTATTAACATGTTAAAATTTGAGGGTGTTGGAGAGCTCAAACAAAAAATTAATAATTTTTGCTCAACCTCATACAGAGAAAATGGCCTCACACACTTCTAGAAAAAATGTGTTGTTTGCGCATTTTGGTACTCGAAATAAATATTGCAGAGAACTGTAGGAGTCACCCGTCGGCAGAAAACGAAGTACTACCTGCAGTTTTAATTTTGGTGGTAGAGCATCTTGAAATAAAGGTTTCCCCCCCCCCTTAATAAGTGGAGTGGCTATTTCCAATAAAGTTTCAAACTATCCTTCAGCCATTTTGATGAATTTTTCAAACTTTGGATAGCCTCGCCCCGAAGTTCATTTAAAAGTTGATTTAATGTTCCTAATTCATCATGGCGAGCTACCCAGTAATGTACACATTTCCTTTTCTTTTTTTCCCCCTGAGAACAGAAATTGATTAGTCGGAAACTGTTCGCAAACTTCAAGCACACAACTGCCACATCGGTATCTATTTTGCAAACAAACGAATGCGACTTGTCAGTCCGCTCTGATTGGTGTAAACAGCCTATCAGATTACAGGTCTGTTCACTCAGTTCAAAACGCTGTAGCAAGGGGCTCGCTACAAGTCACTCGGAGAAATGTAAACTTACCTTTAGAGAAATTACTCCTATATTGATCCTAATTTAACAAACTTCTACAAAGAAAAAAAAAAAAAAAAAAGCGGAACTTCGAATCTGTGTACAGGGAGCTAGAATACATCTGGTGACTTACTTATTAATTAGTTGGAACTAGGCTGTTAAGAGTTTTAGGTCATATGTTAAAATCTGTCACAGTTGGTCTGTTGTTTTTTTAAAAAATATTTTAAGTCATACAAGATGTGCTTCAAATAAACTATTTATTCCTTATTTAGCTGTTAATATCTTACTCACAGCAATAACTGAAATTGACATTTGCACAGCTGGAAGCAGACCGTTAGGTTGAAATCAAGTTGGTAGATATAACATTTTAGAGCTTTATATATATACATATATATAAAATCAGAAATAACTGAAATGCAGAATTTTTAATAAATCAAACAAGAAGTATTTTCTAGTTGATTTACAAGAGTTATCTTTTGTCATAATTACACGTTAAAAATAAGAAAAATTCAGGACACCATGCATTCAAGTGGATAGCAATCTCCCCTACAACAGAGCAACTGATCTGCCCATCCTGATGATGATGAATGCATCCAGTAAGATATTGCATACCTTTATAAACCACAAATAGTTCAAAATCGATTGAGAACATTCATGAGAATTAGACAAGATATGCTATTTTGTTCAATAAATTGTTCATGAAAAGAACCCACTGAAATTCAACATAACAATCATGGTGCAGCTGAAAATGTTCAGCTTGCAACACTGCCAATTTCAAATAACTTTTAGACTCATGAAGATTAGTGGTGCTAATTAAGATGGTCTCTCAGTACTAATACAGTAGTGTCCTAATTCATTTCATATTGAAGTGCAATATATAACAAAAATTTAACATTTATGCAATAAATATTAAGTGCACAATAACTAAAAATCAAAAATTACTTAAACTCACCTGTAAATTATCAGACAGCATGCCAGTTGCCAATATATTATGAATAAATTTTGCAAGGGACTGGGAAAATTCATCATACAATTGGCCTAAAACAGGTCCAAAGTAAACACATATAGAACCTACATAAAATAAAATTAAGTATCTGAAACCATCAGAAATTAGATATTAGCATTCGAGAGCAAATAATGAGTTATAATGCAAACTACTATAATATTAGTCATGATTCTATGAAATATGAAAAAACTAATACAGTCAAAAGTCTTTAATCCGGACGTTCATAATCCAGACCTCAAAGCTACAAACTTTCTGCGCATGCGTTTACGCATCCGCGCTTTAATGTACGAGGGCCATCCAGGAAGTAGATTACGTTTCCGTCTGTGTCCGCTAGGGGCGGGGCTAGCGCGGCCATCTTGGGGTCAGAGCGTTGCGCAGCTCAGTCTGCATCTAGCCGTGCTAGTGAGAGGTTCGTGCTGTGCTCCGTTCAGATACTGCGACGGTTTGAAATGTCTGCGTTAATTGAAAATCCCGCGAGCTGCGCTCAGTAATAAGGTTTCTGACTGCAAAAAACTGTAAACCGATAGAAATCTATCGGCAGCTTCGTGAAGTGTATGGGGACAACATTATCACTGAAGGTGGAGTGCGTCATGGGTCATAAGATTTCAAAATGGCCGAACCGATTTCACGACGAAGATCGAGTGGGAAGGACCCAGCATAGTGACCGCCAAACTTCTCGAAAAAGTCGATGCTAAAGTCCGTTGAAAATCGAAATTTCACAATAACGGAACTTTCTTTGAGTTTTCCACAAATTTCGCGAAGTTTGTTGCACGAAATCATCAGCGAAAAGCTTGGTTACCACAAGTTTTGTGCAAGATGGATTCCAAAAATCTTGACAGAGGACCACAAAAATCAGCGAATGGCTGCAGCGTTGAACTTTTTGGACGCTTACCATAAGGAGGTGACTCTTTACTCGATCGCATCGTTACTGGTGACGAAACATGGGGTGAAACATGTGAACTGTGAAACGAAAATTGCAATCATGCAGTGGGGGCACACAAGTTCTCCCCAAAAACCCAAGAAATGCATGCAAACAATGTCAGCAAGGAAGATGATGGCGACTGTTTTTTGGGACAGAAAAGGGTAATTTTGGTGGACTTCCTGGAAAGAGGCACTACAAAAACTCTCAAAGGTATGCCAAACTCTCCAAAAAATCAGAAGAGCAATTCAAAACAAGCGCAGAGGAATGTTGAGCTCTAAGATCTTGTTGATTCACGACAACGCCCGGCCCCACACGGCAAATGTCACTCGTAAAGTTCTTGAATCTTTTAAGTGGGAGTTGTTTCCTCCATCCGCCGTACAGTCCCGACCTGGCACCGAGCGACTTCCACCTATTCCCAGCAATGAAGAAGTGGCTGGCTATGCAGTGTTTTGATGACGACGCACAGCTGCAGAAGAAGGTAACGAAGTGGTTGAAGGCGAAGGCGGCCGAATTGTTCGACGAAGGAATTTCCAAGCTCGTACATCGCTACGATAAATGCCTTATTTTGTATGGTGACTATGTAGAAAAGTAGTATTTGAGTGTGGCTTTCATCTGTATATAATAAAATTTGTTTCCTATACTTTGTTTATTTTTTTATTCCAAAACGTAATCTACTTTCTGGATAGCCCTCGTATAATGGACTGTATAAGCTAAGCTAAAATTATCTATGTCAGTTAATGTTGCAGATTGCGTTGTTCCTTAATCTTTGAATTGGATCCGGCTTATTATTTTTTGCAGACTGTTAGAGCAATTTTATAAAAGTAAGCTTGAACTTTCGATTATATGAAAAAGAATTTCCGATTCTGGAGCTGCCAAAAGATCTACAAAGTGAAAACATGTTTCGATGTCCATCAAACAAAAAGTGGAATTGCTACAAAAAATGGATAAAGGCATATCCTTTGTTTCTCTAACCATTCCGAAATCTGTTTATCAATTTCACGCTGCTTTGCAGGGAGGGGGGGGGGGGGCGTCGCGCAATGAACTGGAAGTTGATTCGTCAGCACTATCCTTACCCTCGGGGCAGATTTTTTTATTTTAGTGCTTTTTAAGCTTTTATTTATTTATTTTTTTTTTTTTTTTGCAAATTTTAATACCCTTTAGATCATAATTGCTTTTTACTTCATAAATTACGAATTTTATACACTTTGTTCATATTTTTAATTTTATAATTTCTGCATGCCATCTTACCAGATTTAAATTAATGATCTATAATCCGGAAAAACCAATAATCAGGAATCGCCGAAGTCTTAACGAGTCCGGATTAAAAACGTTTCACTGTATTAAATTAAAATCTTTCCTTCAAATTTCAACAGAAAAAGTAAGCATAAAAATTGTCACAACTTAAGGGGGTAACATAATAATAATTTGTGTGATACAATACCTGGTGGAATATGAACTCAGAAACAAAATATGTACAAACAACATGGTACATGAAAAACCATTTTCATCCCAGATATTTACAAGAAGTAATGTTTGACATTTGCCAGAATTCTTGAAGATCAGAAAAGCTTTGTTTACGAGAAAAGCTTTGTTACTGACCCTCCTGAAGACCTCGTTGCTAAAATTAATATCACTACTATAAAAAAATGCGCGACTCCAGTTTTTTTTTTTTTTTAAACATATACTACAATCACTCCATTGTCACATTGTCACTGTGATGCATGTATTGCAGTTAGTGGTCATTCATTCACATAATTCTTGTAAATATCAAAATTTTTTTCTTATAAATATCTGTGATTAAAACAACTTTTCATTTTTAAAATTCTTTGTACTTACTGAGTATCTGCAATCACATTTCACCATGCACTACCTCATTATTTATATATTTATTTATTTTGGGATATTTTCTATTAGTCCTTAAAATTGTGAGCAGTTCCTGTTACAGTCTATACATAAATTCTGCAAATGTAATTAGCATTGGATTAAATATTCATTTGAGAATCCTGTTAGACAACCAGCTTGCAACATTATTTTTTATTCAACATCAAAAAAAGTTTCTTATAGTTCACTAAAATATATATTTTCTGTTTGGTACACTATATGGCAATATTTTTAGCATACTTTTCAAGTGAAAATAGTCAAGATCTAAAACCAAATTGTCAACTGCTACTGCCAGAACAGGGACTCAATCTGTATGAAGTGTGAACTGTCAATGCATGGTGAGGTATCAGACACAGTTATGAGTGTGGTATATCTGAATATCCTACAACTTTACATTTTTCTAGACTGCGAATGCAGATAGCCTCACTTCATAACAGAATGGCACTTTGGAACATTATCCAACAATATGAAATATGCCCAATAAACGAGTCCCAGGAAAATAGAAGGCAGAGGAGTTCATATTACGAGGTAACATTGAAATCCCTACTTTATTCCAATGGATTTTTTCCCCTTTGAAGTGCTCCATACGAAGGGGGGGGGAGGGAACTAGGCCTTTTTATATATCTGAATTACAGAATAAGTTAAAGAATAATTAAGGTTGTCTGAGATGGAGTGACACTGCATTCAATATATGCACATTATTAGCATTTCTGATTCAAAATGGTATAAAATAAATCCTAGTGAAGATGACCAAGTTTTTCTTATGCACCCTGCAATATAAAAAACAAACTCAATGACACACACAGGTCATACAGGCCTATGGTATTAGCTAAGTTGTTCTCACAAACAATCAATAAATAAAGGTACATTTTATTTTGAATTATTAATACATTTAATTTGTATGCGACACTAATGATGCTGATCATGTAAGGTGGCAAAAATGCTACAAAAGCCAAATCAAAGAATATATAAAGAAAATTCCTTACCACTATCAGTTCTCGAAGTTTCTCTATCTAAATCTTTAATAATTCCAGCTAAAACAATCATCTGAGATTCTCCAAGATTGTATCTAAAATATATAGATTATACATATATACACATACATATACATATTCTCTGCATAAACTTCATAGGGTTTATACTGTGCACAGAGAAAATAACCATCAAAATAAAAAATCTGACACATGCAAAGGTTGTACATGGATATTTATTGTTTTACTGTTACTACTCTGCAATATCTCTGTAGTAAAACTTGTAACTAACTGTACACAAAATTAAGTGAACACATAAAACTTTAAATCTTATTCAAACAGATTATTACCTTAACCAAAATAAAACACTGATAAAAGTTAAGTGCTCAAATATTTACTTTTAGTACAAATGAAAAGTCACTTTAAAATTTAGAAGAAAGATAATGAAATATGCTGGACCAATTTGCTACTAGCCAAAATAGATATTTTCATTGAAATCTTAAAAATGAAATATTTTTTTATTATATTACTTTCTTTACTTCATATGAGGAAGTTAAAAAAAATATTGAGCAGGTTTAAAATTAATGGCATTAAAAACACCTTTTATTAATCTCATTAAAATTGAAAATATATTACCATTTAATGATATTGAGAAATTTATTTTAATTTAAATCTAATATACATCTTTATAAACTAAGAAACACATGTATAAAATAAAGATTTAAATTCTTGCTTTTAAATCGATCAATTAGCAACAGCCATAGCACAGTTTACCAGGTATGTGACGTTAGAAATTAATTTTATTACCGTATTTGACGGCATATAAAACGCACTTTTTTTCCCTAAATTTGGTCTCAAAAAAAGTTACCTGCATCTTATACGTGAAGGACACAGGTTAACTTTCAATACTTAATGCTATTTTTAGCCCGGATAAAGGTCTAGACACACATAACTTTTTCTACATCTGCCATAAATATTTTGCGCATGCGTGAAATATCTGTCGCCAAAAAGCGCCAAAGCTTGAAGCTGATGTCGAAGATCGAACAGGTTTGACGGTCACATTACGTCTATGGAGCCTTTTCTTGTTTACATAGACTTTCTTTGACTCAGCCGACACATGTGTCGGTATCAGTGCTACTTTGTATAAACGTGTCAGTATCGGTGATTAAAACTATTTTTTTTTTCTTTTTTTAAATACTCTGGAAAATATGACTACAGGAACAGAGCAGCAGCAAGGCATTTTGGTCCACAACCTACCGAAAAAATTATACGTACTTGGCGACTGCAGGAAGATCAACTGAACACTGCTAAAAAACAAAAACATAACCTTCTATGCTTAGCTCCATCTTGGCCTGAACTTGAAAATGCCGAAAAAATGTGGGTGATAGATAAGAGGAAATCTGGGATAAGTGTTTCAACCAAAATGATAATCAATGAGGGCAAATTATTTGCGGAAAAAAATGGGAATCAGAACCTTTCAGGGTATGAGGGCTGGTGTTACAGGTTCATGAAAAACAAGGCTTATCAATGCGCACAAAAACAACTACTGCACAGAAAATGCAATGATAGGCAATGTTTTCCTTGAAACTGTGTTTTTTTGTCATTTCTGCTTTATTTTGTATTATGCTTGATTACTTGCAGTTCATTCACTTATTCATTATTGAAATTTACATATCATGTTCAAAATAGCTTGCCGTTTCTTAATTTTCCTTAATAAAAATATGTTTGGTAACTGCATTCAATGATTGTTTATTTGGCTTTTACGAAACGTGAGAACTAAAAAAAACCACATTTTAAGTTATTGTGGTACCGCGTTGTCGCACATACTATTGAAAATTTTTTCCTTGTGTCTGGCCTTCTAAATAAGGGTGCGTCTTATATGCCAGTGCGTCATATGCTGTCAAATACAGAAATTGCAATAATGATGGCACATGCATTAAAATTTGCTGCATTTGTGAAACAGTGCAGTAAACTGAAAAGCCCATTAAATTAGTCACTGATTACAACACAAGCAATTGTCCTAATCAACTAGGCTTGATAGTTACTGGAACAATATGATGTAATAAATTATAAAGATGTATATTTATTTCTTTTAAATCTCTTAGTTTCTTATGCAACTGTCAAATATTAAAATTTGAAGAAACATTAAAGATCTCATGCCTGCAAAATGGGAACAGAAAGTTGAGAAATGGCAATCATGAGGTATGAAAGATCCTGCATTTCTCACATTGCACCAGTGTGAAATTCACCTAATTAATTTAATTACCCATGTATGAGTAATTAAATTACCATTTAATTACCCATAAATGGTTATTACTGCCTCTCACACCAGAAGTGATCCCAAAAGACTGAAACACCTAAAAACCACCCTTATAATTATTTAACATATAATGACCACATAGCGCAAAACAGACGTGACAGCATCCTTACGGTCCCTGATGAGGCCACCCCCACCTACTTGTAAACAGAGCTGGATTTAGACTTGATAAGATATAGGGCCCTTTATAAGTCTGTTATACTATATTTTAACTTTCTGGGGGCCCCCACTGCAGCTTATACATAAATCCTGCACTGCTCCCAACATACGAATGTAGCGAGTGACCAGCTTGAGAACATTCCTTATAACAACACTTGCCAAATCTCATGCAGGTAATCATAATCTAAAAAATGTCCAGAATTTTTTTAAAGCCTTCATTAAGAATGTTTCTCAAAACAAAACTAATGTAAAGGACACTGAAGACTGTCAAAACCATAGATCTTTGATAATTTAAAGACTGTTAAGAAGCAAAAATAAGAATTTACATGCATTATTGAAATAAAAGACACCACTAATCATTAAGGCCACTTATCATTGACAATACTTTGGCAGACAGTGTTATGGCACATTTCCAGTGTTCATACAGTGCAATACTTGCATAGGCAAATTCAATTTTAATTAATATGAGGACTGTGCTTAATGTGTGAATGCATCATTTTTAACACTTGGCATAAAACTGCAAAACATAATTTTTAAATCACCTCATTGAACAATATTTACCCTGCTTCTGTAGCAGCTGTTTAGTATACTGATTTGATTACAGTTAACTTCTACTTGTTAAGATGATAAAAATCAATATTGTTGGTTCAGTATTTTTTCCACATTTATTGCATAAAAATATATTAAGCAATGTTTCTACATTTCCCCCTTTATTTATTTTACATCATTTTTGCCTTACTGTATGTTACAGCTTTATATCAATAAACAATCAATCTTAGAATTACTTTTTTTTTTTTGTAATCAATGGTATTTTGATTATGCTAATCAGTTGCCGCTGAATATTAGACAGTCGACTCCCAATTGACCCCTTGATAATCACTGATCACACTGGGAACCATGTGCATATCTACTATTTGAGACAAGGAAGTAAGGATGAAGATTTTTTTATTTTTATTTCTTTATTTATTTATGGTATATGTGCTATGCATTAAAAACTTATGAAATCATCACACACTGGTTATCATAAATTAAGGAAAAACCACAAAAATAGCGATAACTAACTAAAAAATAAGCCAAACCGTGTAAAATTTGAATATGTTGCCAAGCAAGAGTAGCTGAGTAAAACTGCGATATGCAAATTAGTGGCACTGCTTTCGGAATATGTCATCTGCGAGGAGCATAAAAGGTCCATGTTTGAGAACAAGCCAACATATTCCACTGTGACAGTGACTCAGAATCTGAGATAGACAATTCGTAAACATGATCTCCAGGGCATCATTTGCCTGCAGAACTATGATAGAAAGCCATTGGGAGACTAGAGGCAGGACAAAGTCAAACAGAAATGGCCAGATGGCTAAATGTGAATCCTTCTGTGGCTCATAGACTTTGGAGGCAATTTCAAACCACAGATTTGGCATCCAGGAGGTTCAGCCAAGGACGGCCAACTGCTACGACGAGCGCCGATAACCGATATTTGACATTATGTGCACGCAGGAATAGAACCGATACTCCGACTCTTCTTCGATACCTTGCTGCAGCCACTGGAAGGTTCGTGTCAACATCAACTGTGCATAGAAGGCTTCACGAAGGTGGTCTGTATGCGAGGCGACCAGCCATTTGTGTGGTGCTCACGTCACGCCATAGGAGAGACCGTTTCAGTGGGCACGACATGTCCACTGGACGCCTGAACAATGGAAGGCGGTTCTCTTTACAGATGAGTCCAGGTTTAGTCTAGAAAGTGATAGTACACTTTATTTGATATGGAGAGAACCTAGAACCCGTTATCATCTGTCAAACATCAGTGAAAGAGATACATTCGAAAGGGGCAGTGTCTGTGTTTGCAGTGGCGTCTCTTGGGTGGACACACAGACCTCCATGTCTTTCCAAGGGGAACTGTGAATACTCAGATATATAGAGATGACATTCTTGAAGTTTATGTGCGCCCATATACCGGGGCAATAATGATGCTTTCCTGTTACAGGACGGCATTATAGATGATTATCTTCAACAGGAAACAATCATGCGCATGGAATGGCCAGCTCGATCACCGGACTTGAATCCTATTGAGCACGTTTAGGATGCTTTAGGGAGATGTCTAGCTGCTTTCAACCGCCACTCGCGCTTGTTGCGCTTGAAACTGCTTTGCAGAGCATGGCTCTCGTTTTCCTATGAACTAATCCGCTATTTAAAGCATCACACATCGCTTATTGCGTATTGCTTCTAGATGGATCATATTCCATATTGAAAGGTACTTTATCTATAGCAAACTGACACCTTAATTTGTTCATTTTATACATATCTAATTGCTATACTACTATTTGCGTAATTTTATGTTTTTTGATATTACTATGTGTTGTATTTGTGGGTAAGTTTCATTCAATTCTACATGTAACTTTTTCAGTAATCGTGATTTTTCCTTAATTCATGATAACCAGTGCATTATCAAATTGACTATAGCCAAAGATAAATACACAACCATTCTGGGATTTTATTCATTCATTAAATATGCACATTCAAATTAAAATGTGACTTTAATATAAAAATACAGCACAAATTAATGAATGCATTTTTCAAATGCTATTGCTTTTGCTTACCTCAAAAATGTTTTGATGCATTGGCTATCAAAGTTCACTAAGAAGTTATTCATGAATGTAAATATCTTTGATGCTAAGTTGATATACTGTAAAAGAGAAATATTAGCTCATAACAATAACATATAATAAAATGCAGCAACAACATTCTTTAAAATCTCAAAATAAGCATAACTTTATAATTCATTAACGCATATAAACATTTTAAGTCTCCAGAAAATGCAAATATTCCAGTGGTCATTCATTTTATTTAGAACACAAATAAATACACAGTTTGATTCGTGATAAATTTGCCCATATATATTATAAAAGATGCTGAAAATATCCATTACCACTTGCTGCTAAGTATTTGCAAAAGCTCTGGAAAAGTGTCATTACCAGGAGTAACAAATACAAATGGAATACTCCTATCCATTTTCAATACAGTATCAAAGCTTGATCCAAAGAAGTCTTCTAAGGCAGTGTTTCTGAACTGCCAATCTGTGGACAAGTGCCGGTCAGCAAACACTATTCGCTGGTCCTTCCAAATTCAGAAGTATTATAACAATAATATACCTAATGTTGTTTACAAACAAAAATATTAAAATCTGGCAAGTGTGCATTTTACCATGTATACTGCACTAAGCATTAGCTCTTGCTTTCTCAGCATGTCTGTTTGTTTGTCTGCTAAATTTATTAGTATTGGAGGATCTATCTTGATGCCATGAAATTGCATTTGAGAGTAATGAGTACTCATATTAAACAATACATACTAGTTTTCAGTGGAGAAATGCTTATAATTTTTTGAAGTCCATTGAATAATGGCAGTTATATTATTAGTGTAGTATACAGAATGAACTTCTTTAAATAATTTTATTAACAAGAAAATAGAAATAAAGCAAATGACAATGAAGTTTTTTAACCAAGTTCAATTCTTATTATGAATTCTGATTATTTCAGCTGCTGCCACTTAAGCAAAGGAAAAGCAACATGAAGAGGTTGAAAAGTGGTGCTTCAGTATGGTAGATCAGGGATTCTCAGCCAGCAGTCCAGCGAACCTCACTGGTCCGCTGTGATAATTTTTTTGTAATTTCCTGCGATTTTTCTGAGATTTATTTACGTATACATGGCAATTATACCTATATATAATAATTACAATATTTATTTATCTTTACAATTAAATATTATTGTAAGCAAATGATAATAAGAATATTACAATTAATTTATGCAATAATCCTTGAATACCATGTAAAGTTATTTTTTTTGGGGGGGGGGACCACCGGTTCGCGAAATGTTTTTGTAATTTTACAGGTCCAAGGGGACAAAAAAAGTTGAGAAGCACTGTTCCGAGGCACCCACAAGAATAAGAGTAGCTGATTTTTAGATGACATCCGCATGGTCATACGTTCTTCCCTTGAGAAACTTTCAGCCATGCTTTCATACGAAATGTGCATATAACAATATGTTTGTTGAAAGTACACATTCTACATCTCATCAAGAAATTTACTAAAACTTTTAAAGATAGCTGGAAGTGTTCAAAATGTTATGGGAGAAAATAAACAGGTACTGAATAATTTCATTCCTTTCTCAGAACTACACATATTTCTAATTTGCATATTTTCACCTTGATGTGATATTTATATTTTCCAGAATCGTGCGATGAATCATCTTGTAAATATCGATGCTACAGCACATTTTCAATAAATTCTGTTTTAATATAAATACTGCAGGTGGAGTGGAATCTAAGTTGTATAGGCTATATATATAAATAAATAAATAAAAACCAAAAACAAGAATAAAAACTTTCATTCTTTAAAGTTCAGATTATAATCAAAAGTCACTTTAAAATTAAAAATACTTTTCCCTTCAATAATCCTATTCTTGTTAACTGATAAAATTAAAACTTAACTGTTAAATAAAATTAAAAATCAACTCAAGAAGAAATTCAGCTTAAAAAGTCCAACATTTGCTTCTGCATTTCCTTTTCTGAATATAAAATGATAAAGATAGGAAAGTACTACAATATTAAAAAGAGTATTATCATTTGATTAAAATTTTAAAAATAACAATAATAAAGAAGAAAAAAAAAGAAATATAAAGTAAAAATTGCAACCCATATGCTATCATAAAATTCCAACACTACTATCAGAATTTGTCTTTTGATGCAGAAGATAGTGTACACAAGATGTAAATTTGGACTTGTGTTATAAATCTATTTTATTCATTGCATTAACGTATAAAATAATGTATTTACTCAAAAATTAAATGCTTCTGACACTTGAGGATAAATTTTAAGAAATAAAAACGTAGCTAAGTATTGTGCAAATGTGCACTGAGTAAATGTAGCCATCAATATGGTGGATACAGGATCAAATCACTCAGACTGATATGGCTATTATAATAAGCTGACGTTACCCAGTTTGCGTATAGTAAATACATGTGTAGTTTATTTATCATTTAAACAGTTCAGTTATTCTATATACAGAATATAGATTACCATTCTATAGAACGGTAAATAAATTCCTACTCCTCGTTCTGAAATTTCATTTATCAAAATACCTCTTTATAAGACCCAATCAATTTTTTTCAAAGGTCTTATTTTGAAGCAAATACAATAATTCTTGCTCTAAAATTCTAGTAAGTAGTATAAAATTAATTTATATCATTCACTGCTACATCCATGAGTAATACAAAATAATAATAATTCCTCTATTATAATGAATGATAACTTCCTCGAATCTTTCATTTGTAATGGATAAAATTTTATCCATTGTATGGAAAGAATAACACTTCTCTGAGGTGTCAAAAGGAAAGACTATGAATAATTTAAATGAAAGATGAAGGACGTAAAAAATTATCAATTTACTGTGTATAGAACACAGTATCACTTTTAAAGAACCTTTTATATTCATGAATTCAATATTATGTAAAAATAAAGGAAAACTAAACAGGGACACTTACTTTGAAGTACATTATTTATTTTACAAATAAACATACAACAGTTTTAAGAATAACAATAAATATTGCAGCTGATTTTGACATGGATCATTTATTTCATATTGAAGTTAAAATATGCCAGACATAATGAAGTTAAATATGCCTGACAGCAATGATTCCATAACATATTTCAGCATTTTTCTTAAATATTTCTCAAATAAAGTCTGCTTTTTTACAAAAACTCATCTCTTTTTCAATGTATTCTGCAGTCATCTTGGCATCAAAAGTGCCTTCTAAGCATACCAATCAAACTCAGTCATGTTCAATTAATGACACATTTAAATGAATACCTATTATCCTGTGATACAACAAAATATGTAAGATCTTTGGCCACATTCAATTACACTAAACCAAATCTGGCTAAAGTGAGGAATACTCTTGCAAAGGATTTTCTTACATAGAAATTTGAATTACTATTACTGATTCAGAAGTCAAACAACAAAAATCAGTGTCATATTTTCACAGGACTAGTTTCGATGGTTTTACCGAACCACCATCCTCTGCTGCAAAAGCAACTGATGTTATAATTGCACTAATGCTCAGGATTTGCAACTAAAATTAAGACTACAACAAGAACTTAATCATAATGTAAAGTTATATCCTCTAAAAGCAGACTGAGATAATCAACCAATGTTTGCACTGAAAAGGGAGTTGAATCTTGGCCTTAGAATTGCAAGCACAGTTTCAATCTTGCAATATAATCTTTAAATTCCCAGTCAAGCAACTAGGTTCTATACCCAAGGTCCTACATTCAGCAACACCAATAAATAACAGCTTCACAACAGGAATTGCACTTCTCATTCACAGCTGGTGACAGACGGTAGAACCTAGCTAGCATAGAAAGGTTTAGTTGATTATGACACAGCACACCAAGGCTATCTGCCTAAGGAGAAGGATATCTTCGTGGAGGTCTTTCTAAAGGGAAACTGGATCATATGCCCATTACACATGTGGAAAACCACTAAAACATTCATGCAGCCAGCCCGTTCAACAGGATTTGAACCCCAGACCAAACTACCAAAGTTCAGTGACTTTACTACTCGGCCACTGATGAGCTCTAGCCAGCATAGAAAGTGATTCCTCAGAAGTACATAATGCTTTCCGAGAACAAGATCAAATAACAATAAGACCTTATTAATCTTAACTTAGATAATCAATGATTTATTGTATAACATGAAAGAGTAATTATTTAAGGAGAGGGAATCCTTCTTACTCCATTAGGTTCTCCTTTATCTGGTATCAGAGAATTACTTTCCGAAGCAGTTTGCTGTGGCTGTTGAGATTTACCATTAGTTGCCTCTGATTCATTTGATACAGTTGCTGGTGGTGGAGCTGTGTTCGGTGGTTCTGGAGGAGCTAAGGTCTCTTCAAACCACTGGCCTAGTATAGGTTCACTGTCATCATCTAACAGAATAATTATGAAATAATAAATACCAAGACTAAATTTCTGTAATAGTACTATTTCTGAAATCAGAATATTCTTATCTCGAAACACATTACCACAATATTTAATAATTAAAAATTTTTAAGCTTTCATTTTGAATCTTAATTGCAACATTCTTTTATAACAAAATTATTCCATTACAGGCTATCACATTCCTGATCACAAATTACTACATTTCAAGCTTTGGAAAACCTCTGCTTTGTGGATTTATTGGGGGAATTAATTAGTCAAATAAATTTAAAATTTTCAAACACTTATTCATTTTATAATACTTTTAAGTAACATGCAGGTAATTAGCACAGGCCGTAGCTTTTCAGCTTGGAAAGTATTACATTTCTATTTTTCAGCTTGGAAAGTATTTCATAAGCTTTACTAGGACTTCATTATTTTCACAAGGTATATTACTACCTGCGGTATTGCACAAATTTACAGAATTATTTGTAAACCTGAAGAGATGTGTGTGTTTACTTTTTATCCAAATTTTTCAGATTTCAATCCAATCAATTCATCCTCTTATGAGTACGAGTATCTTTATAACAGTCCCATTTAGTTATTTTTTACAATATGCAAAATGTTTGATAAAGATGACTAAGGGGTTCATTTCCTTACATAGCTCTGCACATATTCTTTCAATTGCACAATTACTCAAAATAAGGTACAAATATTTTATGAAAAGATTTCAGCACAAGGAATTGGAGAAACCTTAATATAAAATCTTAGTGTTTCATACTGCCCCTGCATGGCAAAAATTCTTTTGATCAGTTAAATACAAAAAGTTCTATTATAAGATTTTACAAGCAAAATTCATGATAATATTTAAGTAACAACTTACAGATTTCTTTCAATGTTTATTAACAAATAAAATTCAACACTTTTAAACCATATTTAAAGAACAATTACAAAATGATCTGAATATAAAAGTACATAAGACTCTTCTAATTTACAAATACTTTTGAAAATTTATGCAATGTAGCAGTCTGCATTATCATACTAAAAGATGTGTATCAAAAAGGAACTCTAGTATTATTTTGGCAATTAATGGTTTATTAGTAGGAAAAAATAACATTTATCATCAATTCACATGAAACTTTTTATTTACATTAAAAAGCATAATAAATATTTTATCAATTAGATTTTTAATCTGCAAGATTCATATAAAAAGTTGTTTTCTATTTTTATACAACCCTTTACCCACAATGGTAAAGTACATATTTTGTAACTAGATGTGCATGTTCAGTATATACTTTGTAACTGAAAGTAACTGGAAGTGCCTAAATCAATATTTAAGGAAATATAGCTTGTTTCTATCTTTTTCAAATGTAACATTACGGGGGGGAAGACAGAACACATTAAATTGAAAATTTAAATTAAATTCAAACCTGGAGTTCATGTATTTTGATTCATGTATTTTAAAGAATTCATGTATTTTGAGGGTCATAAGCATGAAGTATTATTACTTCATGAAAAAGAGAAACCCTGTGTTATCTCACCAGAAATGCAGATTTTGCTTAAAAATTCAAGTAGTTAAAAATACCCTGAATATGCTCTGCAAGCATGCAACCATTAAGATACATAATAGGCCACTTTCATAAACTATAAAACAAAGGATTTAAAATGTCAACAAAGGATTTAAAATGTCCACAAAGGTATACTGTCCACTAAACAATACGTAATTAAATAGTACAATGAAAATTTTAAGAAAAAATATACTGACTTGATTTTTGATTTATGCGATGACGGCAAAGCCTTCGGGGCTATCTGCATAAGGTGAGGGATACCTTTATGAAGGACTTTCTAAGGGAAAGTTTTACACATGCGATAAACCACGAAAATGCAAATGCAGCCAGCCCGCTTGTGGGATTCGAACCTTGGACCGAACTATCAGCGTTCAGTAACTTTACCATTAGGACACTGATGAGCCAATTTATATAATGAAGAAAAGTTTTTATACATTTATGGGTAATATATCCTCATTTTTTTTTTTTTTTTTTTTTTTTTTTTTGGTTTCTTAATGTACTTATTACCATGATTGATATCAAAATAGGGAAAAAAAATATCCATAATATTTAAAAACCACCACTTCAATATTAATCATGTTCAGTACAATTTAATATTAATCACTGTTTATAATGGCACACTACAGAGCAGTACTTTAAATTTATTTGTACCATATAGACTTTTAATTATGCTTGAATTACTCAACTAATTTTTTGGAAGGTATTTCTTCATTAAAAAGAGTCCTTTTTCTCTTTTAACAAAGAAATGTATTGCAATTTCATGCACTTCAGAACATAAAAGAAAGTATTTGCAATGTAATGTAACAAGAAAACAAAGAAATGTATTTGCAATTTCATACACTTCAGAAATCTTTGGCAAGAATTAAAACGGAACTTTCTGATTATCTGCCACCAAATGTTAGAAGTACTATGCTTCTGTTTATCACTAGTGGTACACATGATTAAAGGAAATCCCACTGAAGCTAAAAAAATAGAACAGAAATGCAATCCCCATGTGTAAGTGTAGACTGAAACTTGTCATCTAATACTGTAATAACTATGTATCTTATTAGTTTCTTATATTAAAGTATTTTAAATTACTGTCTCTTAGATCAGATGTCAGCTAATTCTGGTTTAAGAAGCGAAATTTAGAGGCAAATGAAACTTACCTTATATCTTATAACCTCCATTCACTTTATTTCATTTTCAACAAGCCTGTCTGAACTGGTAGATTTGTATAGTTTGTTTACATTAATAGCATGCCAACAAGGTTTGTTTAATGATTTAACATGTGTTAACTTTATTAAATATTTTTTCTTTACACTTATGACACATAAAATTCAACCGAAAATCACAAAATATTAATCATATGAACTGAATTTCTGATACAATCTTGCACGCAGGAAATAAAAGTGTTTTATTCATTCCATATAGTGTTGCTTGCTTTCAAATTGTTGAGCTTGTTCATTAAAAATTCATTTAAGTTTTATCTTTCAAGGAGGTTTCTGTAACCTCTCAGAGATGAACCAAAGTCTATGAAATCAAAATATGAGGTACACATATCTGTCTGCAGTGACCATACACCATATTAAAGAAAAAAAAAAAAAAATTTCACAAGAGGATACTTTATTTTTTCATCATTTACCAATTTACATGGTTTTAATTTCAATATTTTACGAATAATCAACTTCCAAACATTGTAATTTATGTTAACTAATACTTTTGTACAAATTTCTATTAATAATTTTTAAGTATTAGTTATGTTTTATTTCTGTCATTATCCTTTAATTTTAGTGACTGGTATATAATAAGAATATATTTTATTTGATTTTTATATACGATATTTAAAATAAGTCTGTGTCTTATTGAGCAGAAGCCAGCTATTTTCTGATTAAGAAGTCATGTCTTTAGAATAAGAGGCGTGTGAAACTTAGCCTTTTATAACTGCCTTTCATTTTATTATGTCACTTCTATTTTCAACAAGCCAAACTGAACTGATAGATTTGGTATAGTTTGTTTACATGAGCTTTCAACATTAAATTACTTCTTATAAAGATGTAATATTTTGTATAGCTAATGTCAAAAATATACACCTGACTGTCATTGAAACAGTGGTACTTTTCTATTTTGCCGGCGCAGATGATAAAGTCGGCAATAATGGTACAACTGATGCCAAACGGAATATCCTCGCTGGTAACCTCATTTTGAAAACAAGGCACAGCCATTTCTTATCAGATTGACTGTTTCTTTCAATACTGGCATACAATTACATGGAATTTTTACCAGATAGTTTAATTTTATGCCCTAAGGCAATTTGCGGGTGATAATTACGTCAATTAGGATGCAATCACACTGCTCACCGGATGGCCAAAATATAGAAAAGGCAAAGTCAAGGTTAGGTTAGGTTATTTAATTACGGCAAAGTTTCGAGGACTATCTGCCTAAGGAGAGGGATGCCTTCGTGAAGGACTTTCTAAGGGAAACTGGCTCATATACACGTTACACATGGGGAAAACCCCAAAAATGCCCATGCAGCCAGCCCGTTCGTGGGATTCAAACCTCAGACCGAACTACCAGTGTTCAGCGACTTTACCACTCAGCCGCTGGTGGGTGCAAAGTCAAGGACTTGCGTCGAATGGAAAGAGATTGATAGTGCGCAATAGTGCTTTTACTCTGCATCAGATAAAAGAATGTCTGGAACAAAAAAAGGATGAGATGTAATGAATGAAAATAGAGAATGCACTAGCGAAGCATAGCACTTCAGGTTTCACATAATAGCATAGATTTCACATAATTTCTGAGTAAGCTATTTGTACGAATTGCAATAATTCTTGCATTTAAACTTGCATTCTAAATTAAGATTTAACTTGAAATTAATGTAGATAATTATTGAGAGAATTAGATTTTTGTAGCATAGTTTACGTAAGATGAGATCACTTGAGGTCACGTAATATGAACCAGCGAATCAGGCTGTTTAACCATGAAAGCACAGTAAAATCTTAAATCTAATCTTTTTTTACAAATTTATTGTCTTTATTTATTGGCTTTTTTACAAAATTTGAAACGACATTAAAATGTTTATACCTTCAAAATAAAAAATTCTTAGAACTAACATTTGTTAAAATTTTTTATGTGTATACTGTGTGTTGTTGCCAATAAAGTCTGCTTGGTGAGATTTGCGCCGGCGAAACAGAAAAGTATTAAAACAGTTTGTATAAGAATAATTATGAAAAATTACACTGAAATTAGATTTTAAAATAAATTTTTAAGTATTAATATCATGAAAATGCGTCTGAAAATCATCACTCAATAGTATCTACTGGCAGTAAAAAAGGAAAATTGATCATGTTTAGTTTCTCCATAAAATTTCTTCTTTTTTCTTTCCCCCTAATATAAAATTATCCTTTTTTGCTTATAAACAAAATTCCTATGAGGTATAAAGACAGTCAAACATATATTTTACTGCAAGTTGTTGCTTTTTCATGGGGGTGTCGATAATAAAAAAATACTATTAAAACTAACTACATTAATACTGCTGAGAAGCTAACCTGTCTCCACACTGCTATCATCAGATGAGCTGAAATCATCTTCATAGTAAGTATTAGAATCTGATGTACTATAATTATCTCCATCTACAGGGTTTTTCTGAATCCTCTTCAACATGCAAGCCTGAAAAGAATATATATTATATATATATATATATATATATTTTTTTTTTTAACTTTTCTGTTTTCAAAATTTCTTTATACAGAAGCGACAACATACATATAACATGAGTCATAATTATCTCTAGACTTTAGTATACCATTACCTTATACAAACAAATCAACAAATTTTCAAAATATATTCTCATATACTTAACATTACTAAACTTTCATAAATCCTATCTTTGTTAATGTACAACTTCATCTAATAACAGCATGTTCTTCAATATTCATCAGTGTGCCAATTAGCAAAAAAAGACGGCTTTAGTTCCATTGCAATATAAATACCAGATACCCATGATATCAGTATGATTATATAAATGCAGTTGAAATGAATTGCAAATATTGATTACATGACACAACATTTAGAAAATACTATAATGAAATCAATGCTTGAGAAATATGTGCAAATTATTGTTACTATATGCCAAGATTAAACCTTATGGCAAGAGACACATTCAAGGTCCATGCAAAATTATAAAAAACACTAAGTTATTTGAATAGAAGATGAATGTTGCACAACAATCTCTACATGAGGTTTAAAGTATCAAATATATATATAAATCACACATTTGCGACGCCCTTGTTTTTTAAATTTCATACAACTGAGACAACTGATAGCCAGACAACATTATCCACTACAGTATGCACATATGCAAGGTTACAAAAAAGAAAAAACAACAAAAACCTGTAAAATTAATTTAAAAAAAAATCAACTTTTCTCTTACATTTCCATTAATTATGCTAACTTTATCTTTTTTCAGTTCTAAAATACTGATACACTAACATCCCATAAACCATTATAACTCACCTTAAAACTACAGTTTTTAAAAATAATAACTGTGAAACTTACCTTTCGATAACTAACAGAAGCAAGACTAAAGAGTAAATTAGTTAGATTAACACTCGATGTCAATTTCTGCACACGCTCCCATGCAGTAAATCTCTCAGTGATAACAGGTATTACAAAATGTCCATGAGGTGCACTTAAAGAGCTACCAATACTTTCAACAACACTTGATCCAACTTCTACTTTCAAATCATCCAGAAGATTCACCATTAAGGACATTGCATGAGTAGCTAAAGCTACTGATAAAACTCCATATCCTTGTTGGCTAGAATTAAAAATAACATTATACCAGTAAGTTCATTAAATATGAAACATTTGAGGCTAAGTAATTATAATTGATGACTTAAAAAATAGGGAAATAAAAAAAGGAAATATAATGTGGAATCTAAAAAAAGAAATGTTTTTCTTTTTTCTTTTTTTAATCACATCCACAATTCTGATACAGTTGTTATGTTCTGCATCAAATAAATTATTCAGATTATCATTATCAACCAAAACCAAATGATTCAACACCAAGATATGCAATATACATCATTAGAAACATATTTTATAGCCAGCAAACATAGCAATCCTTCATGTTCTAAAAAAACAGGAAGTTATAATGAATCACTAAAGCAAAAATGCATTTAATATAGTTTCACTTAGTGCGCACTTCCTGCACTGATCCTAAAAATTAAATGTCATTACAATGAGCAATAATCATGCAATATTGCAGCTAATGTTCACAAAAATTATCATTTGGATGTATTATAAATCAAATATAGTTATACAGCATGAAGTCCGAGATCTGGACTTGTCCACACTTCGGCGATTCTGGATTTCGGATTTTTCCGGAATATTAGATCATCAGTTTAAATTTAGTAAGATGGCATGTAGAAATTATAAAATTAAAAATATGAAATCAAAATTTATGAAATAACGAAGCAATTATGATCTAAATGGTATCAAAATTTCCAAAAGAGAAAAACTTACTTTATTAAACATTTCTTTGAATGTAATCTGTTTTTGCTTTCTTTTTTTTTTTTTTTGGAGTGTGTGTTAATATTTTCTCTTCAATTCTATAGAAAGACGTAATCTCTTGTTCAGGTACAAAGCTCCACTGTTTAAGTCCTGTAGTTGCTGTGTCGAGAATTCTGACTTGTCAATAGAAATTTTTTCGTTTTCAGTAACCACTCTGTCACTTTCATCACTATCAGTAGCGGTATTTTCTGGATCTGGAACGATACTACAGATTTCACCCTCCATTAGTTGATTGATGATTGGAGCATTGTGATCGCAATGAAAAACTCTGTTATATCATCTTCATTTATTACCGCTTCTCCATATTACCATATTAGCTTACAAAATCCATTTATAGGAAAATTTCACCTGTGGTTTGCAATATCTGAAAGCCTTCAAATTCAGCTATCATCTTCATCCTGTTCACCATGAAATATGGCAGCTGGCCATAAATTATGACAAGCAATTTTTAAAGTATCTGGAGGCACATCCTCCCTTGATCTTGCATTGCTCCACACAGCAGATTTTATGGTAACATTTTAAAAAAATTCTTTAAGAGACTTGCCATTATTCAAGAAATTTAACATGGATTTTAAAAATGGGAGTTATGCCACGCGATATTTGCACTTCAGTGCATGCACTATTCCGATATCCATAGGCTGAATGATGGACATCCAGTTTGGAAGAAAGAATAACATGGATACATTATCTTTCATAGAACTTTAAGTGAAATATAAGCTGAACAGTTATCTACATTTAGCACAATTTGGGCGCCATCAGGTAAAGCAAATGAATTCAAATGTTGCCGAGCCTTGGGTATGAAATGATTTTCAAACCAATCATACATTAATGCTTGTGTCATCAGTGCCCTTTTATTTGCATGATATCTAATGGGAAAATCTTTACTTCTTTAAATGCTTGAGGACGCATATTTTCCCGATTATGAAAAGTTTACACTTGTGTGTTCCTGCAGCATTTGAACCTGCTAAAATTGTTAGTCTAGCTTTGGAATCTTAGATACCAGTTGGGGCCTTTTCTGTAGAGGTTGCCAAGGTATTCCACAGTACATATTGCCAGAAAAGACCAGTTTCATTAGCATTATAAATTTGTCCTGGAGATAACGCTTCATTATTAATGAGTTCAATGAATTCCTCTGCAAATAGTTCAGCAGCTTGAGTATTAGCTGAAGCTTTTTCAACTGAAATTTTTAATTGCATTATACCATCGCAATTATAAAATTTGGTTAACCAGTCTATCAAATATGTGAATTCTGTTCAAAAAGTTCATATATTCATGAAATATTTCGGCTGGAGACCAGTCAATTTGTCATTAGACCAGTCAATGGCATGTCCTCGTTGCATCTCGGTCTGACCATTCAATCATCACTTTGTCATGATCATCATTTTTGGCTTAGTGAATAATTTTTCTGTTATTCATTGCGAGTGGGGTGTTGGAATCCACAAAAAATTCTTAAAATTATTTTTTCTGTTATGACGTATACAGTTGATTTTCCAATGCCATAACTCCTAGCATAATTTTGAGACGGATATACCTATAGTTTTTTGCAGCAATTCCACTTTTTGTTTAATGGACATCGAAACATACTTTTGCTTTGTAGATCTTGATGCAGCTCAGAATTAGAAACTCTTTTTGACATAATCGAAAGTTCAAACTCTCGTTTTCATAAAAATGCTGCAATTAATAAAAATAATAAGCTGGATCAAATCAGAAGGTTAAGGAACAGAGTAGTCTGCTATATTAACTGAAATGCTTTGGAATCAGTAAAGTATAGTTTTTGCCTAGATTAAACAGCGTCAGCTATACATGACTAATTATGTAATGTAACATGGCAACGAAATGTTCTGTTAAATTTTGCCTTTCTTCTATCATGCACTGAGACAATTAAACCTGAATTGTATAAATTTAGTTATTTACTATATTTAAGTCTAATTCTTGCACATGCTTAAGGCTTATCCGAGTCCTATTCCTACATATACTTAAGCTAACTAAGGGATGGCACTAGATATTCTGCCGCCTGATGCAGTCTCTGCAAGTCCTAAATTCTGCTACCAAGCACCTTCCTAAATTCTAAATTTTTGATGTCCCTTAATTTTTAGTCCCAGTGCTTTCCCTACATTCTAAAAATTTTATCATCCTTGAATTTTTTTACTCTGTGCTCCTCCAAATTCCAAAAATTTTATCTTCTCTAAATTCTGCCGCCAGGTTCAGCCATACGAGTTCTTGTGCTGGTTCTGGGTTTATGGGAATAAAAAATCAGTTATTCTTTATTCAAGTAGCCCTAAATGTAATCTTTTAACCTATGAGTATCATTAACAAAACCTATTTTTAGCATATGGAAAGAAACTTTCGTTAAATTTTTCCTTGTCAACATTTAGCACATTTAATGTAAATCTGTAATCATCGCCACGCATAATGTTGACGTAAAAGGTTTCCATACTCTGTTATTCAATTACTAATACAAAAAAAAATATTGTTTATGGAGCACTCATTACTCAAGTTGTCATGTGTTGATAAACACACAGTGACAAAAGCCAAATATAAAAATAATGATTTGACAGGTTAGCGTCAGGGATATAAAATATTAGAAGCTGTAAAACCAATGATGTTCCTATGTAGGATGTTTCGATTTTAGATGTATGCCAAGCAGATACGCAGCTACAGAGCCAAATTATTGATCACACAAATTTATGCTAAAATGACCAATTCTTCAATAACAAGATTATTTTATTTAGTGCCGAAGTGAAATTAAGAATCAGGATTCTCCATGTTTTTTTACGGGGAAAAAAATCAAATGCACATGGGAAAAGCATTAAAAAAAAAATTTTTTTTTTTGTGGTGGTTTTAAGGTCTGGATTTTAGATTATTTCGGATACTGGACGTCCAGGTCTTGGACTTTGTACTGTACTAAGCTTTTAATAAGATTTTTAAATAATTAGATGTATTTTTGAAAAACAAAATAAACATTTAAATTATTAAGAAGTAAGTTAACCAAGTATAATATATATAACTCTAAGTAACTAAGTATTTCATGGCAATATTTCAGACACTGGCTATTTGCAAGGCTGCAAGAAAGATGAAGACAATTTATTTTGCACGATAACAACACTTGGCAAGTTTTAAATTAGGAAAAAGAACAACTTCGTTTTGGTGTAGATTTAACTAAAACTCATTCATTTCAAGGGTGAACTGGTACAGTTCCTGCTTTGTCAAAAACAAAAAAAAATTCTGAACGTTGTACTTTTGCTTAATTTTAAGTTTTACTTTGGCATACTTCTCTTCCCTTGTTCACTTACCCAGTTGTATAGATGATAAATGCATGGCAGAATAATGTAACACCATAGTTAAAAAATATCGGAAACACTTTTCTAAAGGTATTTCTAGCATTAATCTTTTAAGGATGAGTAACATTATAGAGGATTTAATAAAATTTGATAAGCTAGGTATCATCAATAGCTTATATTGTAACACTATATGGAAATATATCAGACTATTTTAACAAATGTTCTGTGTTTCTAAATGTTTGAAAACTTCAGAGTATTCACACAATACACGGTCAAAAACTGAGATATACAGGGTGATCTTTTTTAAAGTGACAGTGTTTGGAGTGCCCTGTAGCGCGATCTAATAGCCGAAATGGAACCAAACTTGGAATTTAGACTAATCAAGACATGGGAAAAAGAATTCCGTGAAAAATTTTAGTTCCAAAAATCGCCGCTAGGGCATTTTGTGGTGCTGCTGTAGCTTACAATAACGAGAATTAGCATGAAACATGGGTATCAAAGAAAAATGCAAATGTTGTGCGATGACAGTGCCACTAATAGGGGTTATAAAAACAAGTAGTAGACAGCTCCAACAAATAATCTCAACTGAAGTAAACAAGTGGACATGCCTCTCACGTTACTGGAACGTGCGGTTACTGGTGAGCTGTATTACATGAATCAATTGTAACGCATCCCGCAGCTCTTCGGGAATTTCAGACCAGAAAAAAATTACCAAAGGGGCCTTTATCGCTGAATGGTCTAAAGAAAATGATTAAGGCATTCGAGGAAACGGGATCACTTCGACCTAGCGCTGGGAGAGGACGTACAACCAGTATCAGAAGGTGTAATAACTGGTGTGGCAACTGCAATTGTCGAAGGATCGCAGGGAAACCATTGCTGGTACTAGCAGTGTCCCGGGGTGTAGCTTGACAATTGGACATGAATTATTATACGGTATAGAGAGTTTTGCGGCGCATTATTGGAT